ATAATTCAAAGTCGATTACGAGCTTCCTATTCATGCGGATAAAGCTATTGATGGCTTCTAAATATTTGACTGATTTTCTATTTATGTGAACTAAAGCTCGATATGGCTTCTTACTCATATGGATGAAGCCATTGGTAACTTCTAAATATTTCAATGACTTTTAATTTATATCAATCAAAGCAAACAGTGGCTTCCTACTCATATGGATGAAGATTTCGATGGCTTCTAAATATTTAAATGACTTTCTGCTTGTATGAACTGAGGTCTGTCAATGGCTTTCATCATATGGATGAACCTTTTAGTGACTTCTAAATATTTGAATAATTTTCTAATTGTGTGAAATGAAGTTATTGTTGACTTTCTACTCGTGTTGTAGAAATTGTTAGTGGTTTTTAAATATTTGATTGACTTCTTGTTTGTGTGAACTAACGATTTCGATGGCTTTTTTACTCTTGTGGATGAAGCTATCGGTGACTTTTAAATATTTGAATAACTTTATGTTCACGTGAATTAAAGTCGTTAATGGTTTTTCACTCATATGGATGAAGTTATCCGTGGCTTTCAAATATTTAAATAACTTCTTAGTTATATGAAATGAAGTTATTGATAGCTTATAACTCAAGAGAACAAAGCTTCTAGTGGCTTCTAAGTATTTGAATTAATTCATGCTATGTGAACTGAAGCTTTCGATATGCTTTCACTTGTATGAATGAAAATGCTAGTAGCTTATAAATATTTGAATGACTTTCTCGCTTATGTGCACTAAAGCTATTGGTGGCTTTTCATTCATATTGATGAAATTATCAATGACTTTTAAATATTTAAATGACTTTCTATTTATGTGAACTAAAACTATTGGTGGCTTCCCACTCTTGTGGATAAAGTTGTTGGTAGCTTCTAAATATTTGAATGAATTTTTATTTGTATGAATTAAAGTTATCAATTATTTTCTATTTGTGTGGATAAAGTCGACGAAGGCTTATAAGTATTTAAATGACTTCCTGCTTGTGTAAACTAAAGCTGTTAGTAGTTTCTCACTTGTATGGATAAAGTCTGTTGGTGGCTTCTAAATATTTAAATGACTTCTGGTTGTGCAAACTAAAGCTATTGATGGTTTTCTACTCATGTGTACGAAGCTACTAATGAATTCTAAATATTTGAATGACTTTGTATTTATGTGAAATGAAACTATTAGTGGCTTCTCACTTGTATGGATGAAATTATCGATAGCTTCAAAATATTTGAATGACTTTCTACTTGTGTGAACTAAAGCTATTGATGGCTTTCCACTAATACAAACGAAGCTATCAATGGCTTTTAAATAGTTCAATGACTTCTTATTTGTATGAACTGAAATTATCAATGGCTTCCTATTTGTGTAGAAGCAACTATCGATGATTTTCAATATTTAAATGACTTATTATTTATATGAATCAAAATTATTGGTGGTTTTTCACTTGTGTAGATAAAGTTATTGATGACCTCTTTTTTTTTATAGATAAAGTCACCAATGGCCTCCGTATTATATCAATTTGGGCTCGTAATCCATAGAGACTCTCTTATTTATTGATACGGATTTACAAACGTTATAGGTTAGCCAAAATTTTAACTTTTATCCTTATTTTCTTTTTAGAGTATAGGTATAGGAATTCGATTGGTCTAAACCCTAAATCTTTCGATCAATTTACCTCAATAAAATAAATTCACTCAAGTAGATATAAAATCATAATATAGCAAGATCGAGCCTTAGTTTTTGCATGTATATAATGCGGTTTATCTCGGGTCGGATGGGATGTTGGTGATGTTAATCTTTCCTATGCATAATCGACTCCTTATCCGGATATTTATGTAGACTAATTTGTTTTGATTTTCTTAGTTTCTTCTAATTGTTAGGTGCTGACTACGCCCACACCCATGCCCTTGTCCATAGTTTGTCGACTCAGTTGGGGATATGTCATGCTAGAGTCTAGCTTTGAATGCATGTGTTAAAGAATCTCTAATTATATGATTATGTTTCCATCCCTATATATTTAAGTGAATGATTGCTTTATAATTATGTTGTTTGTTTGTGTATGTTATGAAAATGTATTTATGAATATATATATATAGTTTGCGTTGTTTACTCTTGTAAATTTTAGCTATTTAATTCTCAATCTTTTTATTTTATATTTTGAAACTAAATATGAAGTTATGTCCCACACACATCATTATATCAATATGATTATAAACTTTATGCATTTTGCCCTAAATAAGCTCCCATAAAATCTCAAGCTTTCTTGTTATTTATCACGAGTGATGGGTAAACAATGATTTTCATGATTGCTAATGTTACCATGATCGGTCTTAGTGATTCTACTAAGCTTTGTTAAGCAGAAGGTATTTTTTTAGACCTAGATAAAACTTACCTATTCATGTAATGGCTAGAATTGGACTTTAACACTATTTTTCCATAATTAAATACATTATGTAAGTCATATATGTTTGAAACCTTGATCGAGACAACTTGGTCATAATGTTTTAGAATGGATAACAAAAGAGTTCAAATGAAATTTAAGACAGTGATGATCTATTAAGCCGAATATGAAATTCTTTAACATGAAAAAAAAGAATGTCTACCGGATAGTTACTCTAAAACAAAGCCAAAAATGAATTCTTCCTAAGTCTAAAATCATCCAAAAGGCTACGATGTGGCATCATATCTTTAAACATGTTTCAAGCAATCTCATGGGCAAAGGAATAAAAAAAAAAAAAAGAAACTCTTTTGTCACCTTCGATAATGGCTACTCTATATCCGAGTCTTAAACGTCTTCATTTACGTCAATATGTTATTTATGTTATTGTGTTTCTATCTAAACGCAAAACCATAAGTCATCTTATCAAAACTATGCTTCTTCATTAAAAGTCGACAACTTAAACCAAATCAAAAATAGACAACTAAGAAAGAGCTTAACTTGAGCAAAACCATCCGCAAAAATTAGATGCTTTGAAAGGAGAAGTATCCGGGCTAGATGTTTTACTCAAGTAAAGTCTACGGACTCACCAATTTGCTAAAGTGCTTCCTAATCGAGAAATCGGTCGGTCACTTCTACTCCGAGATGTTCACTATCATACGATACTCACTATTTCAATGGCGATTCATGAATCACCATTCTCTATTCTCCATCAAGAGATGTTAATGTTGTGAATCCAACCACTCATACTATACTTGGAGGCATGTATAAGCTAACTTTTTTGAAGTTTCGACCGATTCTTGGCAGATCACATACTTTAAAGACTCGAAGTAGCTCCGATTGTTGATTTAGTTATTAATAAAAAGATGTAAAGAAAAACGATCTCAAAGACGAAGCTTAGTGTCATTGAATAACATCTTATAGCCATTGAGGTTATGGAAATGTATGATCATCTTTTAACTATGGACAAATGTTTGATTCGAATATGATGATTCATAGGAAGTTCAAAATGCCCGAATTGAATTCTCTAAATACTATGAGAATCAATATCCAATAACTTATCTCAAAATTTACTTAAATATGATGACGAAGTTGCTTATGATGAAAAGTGTTTGTTTCACTTCTTTTCGAACATCTCGATGGTGCTACTTTGAATTGGTTCGTTGATCTTTTTACTTGTTCTTCATTTCTTTCTCTTTGAGCTATTTTTTTTTTGGTTTTGTAATTTTGTATTTCTCTCTCTCGATATAACTCTTTCTCCGTAAAAAAAAAGAGCCCCCCTCAAAAAATGCTAGTCCTTCTTTTATCTTTTATTTCTCTTGGTTTTTATCATACCCTATCTTTATTCTCCATTCTTAGATCTTTCTCTCTTAATCTCATCCCTTCCATTTTGATGAGTATAGGATGCTTCATCTTGTCTCTCTCTCATTTACAAGTTCTTTTGTGTGTGGTCTTTACACGTTTAGGTGTGAAGGGAATCAAGGAAAATTATACTTTTGGTGTTTTTGTTTTAAAAGTAATAGAAAAAATATATTTGATAAGTTTTTAAAAGTTTTATTGAAAGCTATTAAAAAACGGAGTTTTTGAATATATATATATGACAATTAATTTATTGAATGACTTGCTAATATATCCATTTGTTTTCTAAAAATAATTAAATCAAATAATTTCGTGAATCGAAATCAGATAGGTGGTTGTGCGTTTATGTTTTCTAGTAAAAAAGTTTTCATATCATCTTAATTAAAATGGTTTAACCTATTTTAATCAATTTTTTAGCAGGTCCCAACTCCCAGTAAATGTAGTGGTACCAAATGCTTGTTTGGCAATTAGTGCTTTTTATATACATATAAGGAAAAGGTGGTAGGTTTTTATAATGGGCGTTTATGAGAAGTTCACACCTACCAAACTTGTAATGGGCGTTTGTGAAGATTTCACACCAGCCAGTTGTTGTTATTTCACTAACCTAGTGATTTTGTTGCATGTTGTCTCCTAGAAGATAGAACTAGACGCTAAGGAATTAATTTTTTTTTTTTTTTTTTAGTTTTTACTGCAATGGGGAGGGGAGTTATCACAAAATATATTCTTATCACAGGTAAATTTAAATTATTTACGTTATCAGAAATCGAACATAAAGAAACTACCCAGTCGCTTAGATATTTGCTAATTAAACCAATCCTTAATAGGGTAATTGAACATTTAACACCAAATTGAAGATAAATAAAGAAGAAAGGTTTTTAGGCAGTAGGAGCAGCACCCTTACCTTCGGCATTTGGCACTGTTAAGGCAAGGAATGTCAAAGTACACTATAATTTATGCGACATAAATAAAGATCCCTTTGCTCTCCCTCTCTCACTCTCTCTCCACAGGGGTCGCGACGTAAGTGGTAGTGTCTCTATCAATGTCACGAATACAAAAAATTATAAATATAATATCTACTGCGAAGATTTTCATTACCATTTTTTCTCAAAAGATACTTTCTCTTGCCTTTTGTCTCTTACCCTGCCTCTCCTGGGATTGGACAAAGCTCAATAGTGGTAGAGAGAGAGGGAGATGAGCGGAGGAGGTGAAGGAGAGACGCTTGAGTACACACCCACATGGGTGGTGGCTGCTGTGTGCACTGTCATAGTGGCCATTTCTCTTGCTGTTGAAAGACTTCTTCATTACTGTGGGAATTTACTCAGGAGGAAGAATCAGAAACCCCTCTATGAAGCCCTTCAAAAGGTCAAAGAAGGTCTCTTTCTGCTTTTCTCACTATCTATTCAATCCTTCTTCTTCTTCTTCTGTTTTTTTTTTTGCAGCTTTCATGTCTTTACCCTTTTTCATTCTTGCTTTATATTCGCTTAATTATATGGGAATGACCCTAAATTTCTGTTCTTTTTGCAAGCCTGAATAAAGATTAGGATTTGCAAGAGAATTTGAAAGTGGCTCTTTTTCTGCTCTTTTATCTTTTCATGACACTGAAGGTAGTGGTAAAATAATGAAATAGACTCTTTGCATTCTACAGTCTGAAAAAAGAATCGATCCTTTTGATGTTGTGTTCCCCAGAGTCATGTGTTTATCTTTAGCATAGACAAGCATCATTAACAGTTTACTTGTGTGTTTTGATGGAATTTTTCTTCTTTTTTATTTGTTTTTGACAGAGTTGATGCTTTTGGGTTTCATATCACTATTGCTGACAGTTTCCCAGAACTTCATATCTAAGATATGTGTGCCAGAGCATGTGGTTAACAACTTGCTTCCTTGTAGCCTTAGTGAAAAACAAAAAGAAAAAGGACATGGATCCAATTCTACAACTACAACTACAACTACAACTGAACATTTTCAAAGCTTCTTCACTGGTTCCATTTCTGGCACTGTCAGGCGTCTTCTGGCTGAAACATCAGAATCCCATCTTGGTTATTGTGCCAATAAGGTAACAATTATTTGTCTCGTCAACTATTATTGTTGTCGTTCTTTTATTTATTCATTCTTGGGATTAATTTAAAACAGCAAGAGTTCTTCGATATCTATGTCTGTTGAAAGGAAATTCTATGTCAGGGAGATTTATTATATTTGCAGTAGGTTTGATGGTAGAAAAAAGGAATATGATGAACCATTTACTTGTACATTCTTGAACTAATGCTTAACTGTAACCACGTGAGCCTAAAATTTTAGTTTATCTAACATCAAATTTCATAAATTTTATAAAAAAAAAAAAATTTATTTTAGTGATTTGTTAGTCTTTTCATTCTATTTATCATGATTCTTAAATTGCTAGTGGTAAAAAAAAATGCCATTATTAACTGCTCTTTAGGTACACATCTGATTAAGATGACATAAGTTTAGTGATGCCTTTTGCATTTCTTGAAAATCATTTTTCAATAAGGTGTACTGCAAGTTATGGTAATGATGGTAAAAAGATAGTTTTTTTTCCCTTAGTTCCTTATTGACGTTGTTTCGTTCCAAGTATATGTGTATAATCTGGTCTTATTGAACTCCTTATTCTGTAATCTGGGTTAACAATTGGGACATAGGTAGACACTGATTGTGTTGTGACATCACCCAGTACATTTAGGTGTAAATGCTGGACAAATTAACAAAGTTCTCGCCAGCCCCATTTCTTGTAAAGTAAAAGGAAAATAAAAAGCGAAGCAAGAATGTAAGGAGAGAAAAGAAGAATAGTTTTGTGGTTTCTTCTTTCAGATTGTGCTGTGGCACAGTAATGTAGTGTAATGCTTTGCATGTGTTTTTGCAATTCATGTTTTCTTGAAGCTCTAGGTTTCTGCATCTCAGCTGATAAATCACAATGATTGCCTTCATCATTTTTCTCTTTTATTCCCTTTCTTCAGGGCAAGGTACCGTTGTTATCTTTGGAAGCCATTCACCATTTACATATCTTCATCTTTGTCCTAGCCATTGTTCATGTTACTTTCTGTGTTCTCACCATTCTTTTTGGAGGTGCAAGGGTGAGAGCCTAATACGATTCTTCATTTTCTGTTTAAATTTTAAGGTGGTCAGGGTACTTAATTTTTCTTTGTCAATGCATTATGATTCGTTTGCAATCAATTTCCATGATCTAGATTCATCAATGGAAACACTGGGAGAATGAAATTGCAAAAGATCGTTATGATACACAGCAAGGTAAGTATATCTGGCAAATTTTGGTGCACCTTTATCTTTGATGTTTTATAATTAGTGGATGCATCTATCTCTATCATTCATTTTCTGGATAAAAACATTGGTGCCCACCAACTTGTAGTGCTGTCATTAAAAGTACGAATGCAAGCTGATCAAAAAATGCCTTATTCCAGATTAACTTTGCGCCTAGCATGAGGGATTGAATTTGCTTCCTTTCCCAAATTATTGGAAAACCATTTTAGCAGTCAATGTTCCTCATTGCTTCTAATAAATGAGCTGCGATCTTGCAGTTTTGAAAAAAAGGTCACCCATGTCCAACAACATACTTTTATCAAGGAGCATTTTTTGGGCATTGGTAAAAACTCAGCTCTGCGCGGATGGTTGGTAAGTCTGTTTTGTTTTTTCCCTTCTATTTTATGTTGCTTTCTTCTTCAGCATTTTAGAGTCTTTCAATGGGATCAATGCACATTTAAGAGGCATGACATCATGTGGTTTAAGAAGCTCTTGGCCTTGGCTTGGAGTTTGGAATGGATTAACATGTTTATTCATATTCAGAAAGTTATGCCAAACCTGGCTCTAATTACAGAAAACCTTTCAAAACAGGGTATTTATTCTCTACTGGTTAAAAACCATCAAAGTAATAGTTCTATCCTTACTTTATAGAGGTAGCCCAAATCCTAAACCTTGATGCACAATGTAATACTCATAGAAAAATCCCTTAACACAGAAAAATCCGACACCAAATAGGACTATTCTCCAAAATGGGAAATTCAAAAATTGAATAGGAATTTAAAATGAATTCTAACACAGGTTGGACTCAGGGTAGTCTCATTTGTGCCTCCGGGGGTGGGGTTGACTTCTATAAGCCATCAAATAAAGTTGCCTGTTCAGGTAAGTCAGTTTGCAGGCCATTTGGCTACATGATTATGCTGCAATAATCCTCAGCAGACCTTATCATTTCCATCTCCTCCCAAAGAAAATTTTAATTCTGCCCTACTTTGACATTTAAACAAAAATTTTGTCATTGTTCTTTTTTTTCATAACTTTGATAACAAAAGCAAATTAAAGCATGTTCCTCACGAGGAAATAATTTTACTTTTAACCACAAAATGATTTGAGTAGAATAACTAGCAGTATATTTTTGGCAACTCAAGGAACCATGTCCTGATCTCAATTTTTTTTTCTCTTTTTTGTTTGTTTCTTCAGCATGCTTTTTTCAAGCAATTTTATGCGTCAGTGACCAAGTCAGATTACTTAACTCTACGGCTAGGTTTCATCATGGTAAAGTATTTTATGCAAGGTCAGATTTGTCTTGCAACAAATTAGCTTTCATCTTCGAATGTTGCATTTTAATACGTGTTTCTCTGTGTATTTGTTGGTTGTTCTGTAGACACATACCAGAGGAAATCCTAAGTTTAATTTTCACAGATACATGGTACGTGCCCTCGAAGATGACTTTAAGACTGTTGTTGGTATAAGGCAAGTGATATCCAAGAATACCTTTCGGGCTAGAGATTCACATTGCTTGCTTTGCTTGTTTTTAGTCTAATTACCTGTTCTTATATTTATATGCTTAATTATTATTTATTTTTTTATTCACCCAATTTCGATGGTTGCAGTTGGTATCTTTGGGTTTTTGTGGTCATCTTTTTATTGCTGAACATCAATGGTATGCTCTTCCTCCTTTGATTAATTTGTAGACCATGTCACTAGATATTTGTACCAACCGTCAATTGTTGTTGGCATCTCTTTTGTTTTAATTTCACACTTGTGTTCTCACTATCACAAAGTCAATATAGGTTCTTCCAAGAAAATTTAATCACACCTATTTGGTGCTCATGTTGAGTCCATCTTTTCAAGTGTTAAACTACCAATACCTTCTGCGCACTCCTTTGTTAAAACTCTTTGATCGTCATTCTTAATGCCTTAGACTATGTTAGAAGTCCATTCCGCACCTTCGTATTCTGTTTCACTGATTTATATGCACCTACCATTGGATTGAACCAATAGTCCTGTACTTCGTCTGCTGAAATTAGAGTGTGGTGGTTTGTCCGTTTTTATTGCACTCCTGCTTGATGTGGAGCATCGATCATTATTGCTGCTGGCAATAGGTAATAAGGTAGTGGTAGTCATATCAATATATAAAATCTTTAACTTATTTGGTTCAATGAGGCAAGTTTATAAATGTACTATATAGTCATGATGTCTTTTTTACCCAAAAGGTCAAAGAAGTTAATGTGTTGAAGAAAAAGTTTCTAAATTCCCAAAATTACTGGTGGCATGATTCTAGTAACTCTAATCTGCATTTATAAGGCCATCTATAGATTTCCTAATATGAAGCAAAAAATGAAGTCTGATAACTGTTGCATATGGTATTTGCTGTCTCAGCTCATTTTGGGATATATCTGTTAGATGCAATCGTTTTCTCTTTCTTCTCATGCAGGTTGGCATACATATTTCTGGATAGCATTCATTCCTTTAATTGTGAGTCGACAACTAGACTCATACTCTTTGTTTCCAGTTCTACCAATTTACATATGCCTTATTTATTCGTCCTCTCCTAAGAATTTCTGCATTGTTTCAATGTTCTCTAATGTTACCTCACAAAAGATCACACTAAGTCATGAAACACTTGAATCACAAAATGTAATGATGATCTGGAGGAAGATTGATTAGAGGAAAATACAGAAACATGCTTGGAAGATATACTTTCTCTCTTCTTGCAGTGAACATGCAATGTGCTAGTTCTTCCAAACTTTCATCACTTATATACAAAGTCAGGAACATTCCTGAGGCTAAAAACAAGAATTCAAATTCCTGAATCCAAGTCCTTAATGCTATAGTTTTTGTTTAGTTACATTGACAATAGTAATTTGAAACCCGACCTGCTTCTGCCCACCCAAATTTTCTAAAAGGTTGATGTTCTTTATATGAATTTCCAGTTTGTTGAGTTCAAATTAGAGAGTGGTTTATGCATTGATGATTCCTACCTACCTATTTTTCGTTAAATTCAGTCTCACTTGAAACAGCAGCATTTTTCTACTTGATCATCATTGATTTCCATCTTGAATGCAATGCTATAAGAGTTGTGGTATTGTTACAAAAGATAAACTAACTTAGACATTTTTTGTGATTACTTCTACAGTTCAAGTTATTGCTCTAATGGAACATTTATGACATAGTATTTTGGTTGAATCAGGGATGGCATCTTTTTTACTATCAGAATTTTTTTAGTGATGAGTTGTTAACTTTCTTATTGACAACCCACATATAATTTTAGATCTCCATGAGCACCAAACCTCCACTCTTTGGTGTCAGATTAATAGTGTGAGTTAACCCAAATGAGACTCCAAATGGCTATCATCCACTCAGAAATGGTCATCATTGTTATATGGTTAATCTTTACTATAATGTATAGAAATGTTTGTTGCATTTATGCACCCTCACACTTTTGTATTCTCTTGTGATTAGTTTTTCATATGAATGCATAGCATGGGTGTGTTTATACAAGACGTGTTTGCAGTTAGAAACATTTTGGGTTCAAAGGGAGACTTGAACTCGAGTCTTGTAAGGTGACCACATGCCGATTGAGCTAAAGCTTATTGGCTTTCTATAAGAAACTACAATTACATTGGTGTGGGTTATTTTTCCACTTTCCTACCTTTTGTTACACCTATTCCAAGTTTCACTTATGCAATTGTTTTTCAGCTTCTTCTTGCTGTTGGCACTAAGCTGGAGCATGTAATTACCCAGTTGGCCTATGATGTTGCTGAGAAACACATAGCCATAGAAGGGGAACTAGTAGTTCAACCATCAGATGATCACTTTTGGTTTCACCGACCCAGCTTTGTCCATTTGTTGATCCATTTCATCCTCTTCCAAAATGCTTTTGAAATTGCATTTTTCTTTTGGATCTGGGTGAGCTGATCTTTTGTGGTGCTTTTCAGCATAGATTCATTGAGATGGACTAGATACCATTAATAACAATATGCTGCTATCCATCTTCAGGTTCAATATGGCTTTGACTCCTGCATCATGGGACAAGTCAGATATATTGTTCCACGGCTAATTATAGGGTGGAAGCTGCTGACGTTTTCTCCTTTGGAATCTTGTAAGATTTTGGTTGAATTAACTCTCCCAGCTAATCACTAAACACCATTTCCTCCTTTTCTCTTGATCCAGGTTGTTCATTCAGGTACTCTGTAGCTACAGCACTCTTCCACTTTATGCCATTGTCTCACAGGTGGGTAACGTTAAATATAGCCGCACCTTTGCTTTGTGAAACTGTTCAACTTAACCTTTTTTTTTTTTTTTCCCTCTGAAAAGATGGGAAGCTCTTTCAAGAAAGCAATATTCGAGGATGGTGTGCAAGCAGGCCTTGTTGGTTGGGCTGAAAAGGTGAAGAAAAAGAAAGGGCTGAAAGGGGCAACCGAAGGATCTAGCGAAGCAAGTTCGCATGTTGTTTCTGCCGGGGAGCTTCAGCTGGGGAGACTGAAAGGGTTAAAAACAGCCAATGAAGGTTCCTCCCAAGCCAGTTCTCATGATGGTTCTACTGTGGGAAATAATGCTTCTGCTTCTGTTCCTCGGGTGGCTGAGCCTTGAGTTGCTTCTGGTAGGAACAGTATAACTGACAACTAGAATTTCTGTAGTTGTAATAGGGGACGGCCTTCCAGCTTCATAAATATTCGTTTATATTCCAATAGCTGGTGATAATTATGTACAAGGCATATTGATCTTGAATTGCCTGTCATCTTGACCATCTCATCGTTCTGTATTCAGCTATTTAGCTACCATGTTTGTATTTTCAAATGAGTAATTCGTTACCATATAAGAGTAAATGAGAAAAATATTATCTTTCAATTTCCTTTTTGCATGCCTATGGATTTGAATGCATCCAGTCTCTTTACAATTTCGTGTCGAACTTTGATATGCTTGGTAGGCCAATTGCAGGATTACAATACCTCATAAAATTGTGCAGTTCCAGCTGCAGAATAAATGGTCTCATTTATGGTCTATAATCAGTAATAACATGTATCTTCTGCTGGAACATGACGAAAATATCAGTGTTGATGGCTCTGCTGCGGACATTGTTTCACCATTTGTAAACTACGGACTTCCAAAACTTGGCACCTCAACCTTCTAACTTGCCCTTTAAACAACTAGATTAAGAAAATGGTTAGAATTTTCCCACTCTTCTACTTATCTACCGAACGTATCTATCCAATCTGAAACATTTCCGATACTTACCAATTATATAGACAAGGGTTGTTCATTAAATCATCGAACGAAGAGGTTTGGTTTGGTTTGGTTTGCTTAAAAGCAACGAAATGTGCATTCTTTATATTATCGAAAATAAAAAGATCATAACTTTTTTACAAAAATCATCATAATCAAATAATCCTCATAGTTTGAATCAAAGAAAAGATCGTGTGAAAGAAAGTTTGAGAGAATGCATATATATGAATCTCCTGAATAAAATGTGACTCAAGATTCAAGAATGTCTTGCTGATCAAAATAAAAACTAAAAAGGGCCAATTTCAAAAAAGTTAAAAGTCCATACCCAAACTTGACCCAAATCCGAGTCACGATATCCCCCTTTCTTCTTCCAAAATTTCCCAAAGCAAAACAAAAACCCAACAATAAAACCCTACAGTCTCCATCACTGGACTCCATAGCTAGACCCCAAGAATGAAACACACCACTCTCATTTAAACCCCACCACCGCCGCGACAAGAGGCTACTGTGATTTTTAAAAATGACGCTCCATTCAATAATAATCCAAAAGCTACTAAGCACAAACGCACATATAGGGCGGCGAGTTGCAGCCCACCACTTCAAACTTTTCACTTATGGAATGCGTAATCAGTTGGCCATTATCGACTCCGATAGAACTCTCATCTGTCTCCGAAATGCTGCCAGTTTCATTTCTCACTTGGCGCGTGAGGAGAAGGCGCGGTTCCTGTTTGTCAATACGAACCCTCTGTTTGATGAGATAGTGGAGCAAATGACAAAGAAAATTGGGATTTATAGCCCTAGAGATAATATTATGTGGAGAATGGGTGGTTTTTTGACTAATAGTTTTAGTCCTAAGAAGTTTAGATCAAGAAACAAAAAGGTTTGCCCTTTTTCTTTTTAGTATGCACTTTTTTTTAATTGAATTTTGAATATGAGTGTGCATTTTAATTAAGTTGTTTTTTTTTAATTGAATCCAAGTTTTGGGTTTCAAGTTTTTTTCAATGTTCCATCAAATGGGTGTTCTTCTTAATGAATTGTAAAGGTTCTGTTGTGAAGACAGTAGTTGCTTCTTATTATTATTTTTTTTTTAGTGTTTGATGAGTGTATGTTCTTTTATCTGTGTTGTTAAGCTTTGTTTTGGGCCAATACAACCGCCAGATTGTGTCGTGGTGCTGGATACGGAGAGGAAGAGTTCGGTGATTTTGGAGGCTGATAAATTGCAGGTTCCCATTGTGGCCTTGGTGGATTCAAGTATGCCATGGGAGTTTTATAAGAAGATTGCGTATCCGGTGCCTGCTAATGATTCTGTTCAGTTTGTGTACTTGTTTTGCAATATAATCACCAAGACAATCTTGCTTGAGCGAAAGAAATTGAAGGCACCAAGTGGTAACGAAGAGCAGGCTCTTTCCAACAAAGCATCAAGGTAATATAGAACTTTTCTAATTTGTTAACCGCTGTTTAAGGTATTGTATCTTATAAGGTATATTGTGTATTTAACGGTCATTGCAAGAGAATAATAGAAATTAGTAATGCTGTTTTTTGAAATGGGTAGGAAGATCTGTGGTTCAGTTAATTATATTGTTGGGATCAATAATGGACGGTGAATGATGTACATGTACTGATAACTAGAGAAGAACTTACTAGAAATTACATGCTGCCATTTGAAATGGGTAGGAAGATCTGTAGTTCAGTTAATTATATTGTTGGGATCAATAATGGATGGAGAGTGATGTACATGTACTGATATCTTGAAAAGAACTTGCTACTTGTGCTGCTATTTGGCCTAATGCAGGAAAATGGGTATAAAGATCCACACTTGAGGTTTTTTTTTTTTTTTTTTTTGAGGAATGTATTTTTTATTAGTTTGACTAAGACCGCTGTTTTTAATGTTATATGATTACATTTCTCTTAAGTTATTTCCATCGGGATGTAGAAAATAGCTATAATTCAGATATCTATTTTATGTGTTGTCTACCGAGAATTCTATAGGCTCTCATATATGTACTAATAGGGAAACTGGTTATTTAAGATTCACAGTCACTATATTGTGCTTCTGTTGCCTTCATTTATTTCTAGATGGAAGGCTATTCTCTATGGTTCACTGAAATGGGCCCTGGAAGGAATAAGTTAGTGCAGTCCTACCCTTCAGCATCTTTGCATGAAGTGGTTGCTGTTAAGGCTTAAACACACACCCTTTAGATCGCAAGTCCAAGACTTTACACTAGTACCAAAAATGTCTTCTTCTAGATGTACAGGATGCTGAATTTATCATTCTAGTTTAGCTTTTATTGTGGGTATTGGGATGTACAAAATAGATTCATATGCTATAGATCTTACTATTTTTATTCATGTATAAAGTACTTGCTATTTTGCATTATCAGAAAAAATCAATATCATCTTTGGATGAGAGTAGGTTGTGGTATTTATTGATGGCAGATATAATCCAGATATCATGTTTCCTAATGTTTTTTTTTTCCCATACTGCATGTGCCGTGCGGGGTTACGGCATTGTTGTTTTTCAAATTTGTTGAGGTTATTATTCCAAAATCTGATTATCTGAAAATGTTTGTTTATTTTTGAAATTGGGTGGACTGGCAATTAACTAGGGACTTGGACGAAGAGAGCATACAGAGCTTTATCCCTAAGTTATCTGAAGTTAGAAAACAAATTAGTGCAAGGTTTATTAATCTTATGCAGAGTTAGGGTATAATGTGTTCAATATATTGCTGGGTTCTTCTTGAAGCAATATTTGGGTCTTGGAATCTAGACCTTAATATTTATAGAACTATGTGATTGGTTTTTCAGTTATGGTTTTGTTATGACCTACTTATGTGTGGTTTGGTACTTTGGTTGATGTGACATTAAATTGTGCTTTGAAGCAAGGAAACCCAACAAATCACGCAAAGCAAGAACAAGAGAAATAGCTCTCCAATTGACGAAGTGCTTATTGTTCCTTATCAGAACTTAGCACCTGCTTCTAATGGTAACGGTTTGCTACTTCTGTGGTGACTTGTTTAAATTAAGAAATTGAAAATATTTTAATGTGCTGTGTCCCTTTGTTCCTTTGCCCTCTTTTCTTGTATAAAAATAAAAATAATTGCCTGGGTTGAATTCAGATATTGCAGAAATTAAGAAGCTTTTGGACAAGATTGTTGTGGTGAAGTTCAATGACACTTTGGGAACAGCTGTTGGGTTTAATGGCCCTAAGTAAGCATGAATCCTAAACCTAGATATTTCATACTACATTACCCTTTGTGCATCATATTATTTTATCTATTGAGTGATACATGATGAATGGGTTGAATATCAATATTGAAGTTATATGTAGTATACTGAAGCCTGTTTCTAGTGCTATACCCAAAAACACAGAGGCACACAAAGCCACATGTTTATTTTGTACCCTCATCATGTGTTAAATTTTTGTGGCCGTGCTCCTTACTTTGTTTGCAGGTCTTCAATTGGAATTCGTGATGGTTTGACATCTCTTGACTTGATGGTTAATCAAATTCAGGCAAGCTTTCTTCTTTTGCATTTAGATTTTATTTGGTTATCTTTGCTTTGATGTATCCCACTGTGCTAAAAATCTGCAGTCTCTCAACTTGAAATATGGATGCCGTATCCCTTTGGTGCTTATGAACAATATCAGAACACATGATGATTCTCTGAAGGTGATTTGTGTTTAGCGTCTCCTCTTGGAACTGCACTCATATATTATCAGAATCTACTCATTGCAGTTTTCTCATGCAGGATTTGGAGAAATATTCCTCATCAAACATTGACATTCTTCCTCTTAGTCAGGTGTGCAATTTTAGCCATGTTTGCTTGTTTAACTATCCATATTTGTAGTGTTTGTTGAAGGCATAATTTATAACTCACTCTCATTCTATGATTGTAATTATGAAGGGCCAACATCCTCAAAAGAACTCTTTCAGTGGACAGAGCAGGGCAGATGAATTGTATGACTCTCTCTCCTTTTTGTTCTTTTAACATAATGAAGGTCTAGGTACCCTGCATAAAGTCTAAAACCCTTGAAGTGTTGCCAAATTGTTCCTTAATACTCAAAGAAAGTCAAGTGTCGAGCGCTGCAGCATTAGAACTATTCTTAGACCTGTTAGATGTTCTTCATAGCTCCCGATGGTATAACTCTACTAGAATCCATCTTAAGAAAGCCATTATGAAAGTTGTTTTGGGAATCTAGTAGAATTTCAACACCTACTGATAGCTGGCTTGAGTACTCCTGTACCTCTATTATATCACTTCTACAACTTCAGCTCCTAAACTTCTTTTCCTTCTCATTCCTTGGTTTGTGGTTGTCTCCTAGTTACATGAGTTTCTAAGGTCTGTTCTCATGTTAAAGTGCCTTTTTATGTTAGCTAGAATCACATTTAAATGACTAATTTTATTAACTATAACACTTTTCTGTCCTACAAATCTCTTGGTAGTAGCTCAAATTTTATCTGAATATTTAATATATATATATATATTTTAAAATATTGACATTCTAATTTACTGTTTATCAAGCAATCCGTTTACCTTTCTATATCTGCTGAACTGGGACATGCTCTTTGATAATCTTGGGTTCAATCTCAGTGATGTTTCTCTCATTAATTTTGTTTTATTTGCTCCCAAGGTCTTGTTGCTTCCATAAAAAACTCATGGAAGTGCTTTGGTGAAAATATATACTACCTCAGAGAACTTCTGCTACAATATTACCTTTTCAGCTGCTAATATATTAATTCGATTGTGAATTTCATTTGGCCCTAGGTCAAAACTTTCCTGATGATTGTTATATCTCTCTATCTCTGATTTTTCTTTTTCTTTGGTGTTTATATGAAGGTATCCATCGGATTATGCTGCAGCCTTCCTTTCCCTAATGAAAAGCAGCAGAACCCTGGATGTGTTATTATCACAGGTATGCAATCCTTAAGGATATTTACACCATTTGCATATGCTTTGCTTGATTTCATATTTCAGTCTTGCAATTTCTTTTGTCAATTTTATCCGTGATCTTTTTAGAACTTGTCAATTAAGTATTTTTGGTGTTTGTCCATTAGAGGCAATCGATGCATTATTGACACATGAGCTTGCAAACATGTTGTAAATGCAACTTCAGCAGGTGACAATGATTAATTACTCTTGTTTAAACTGTTCATGAACTACAAAAAAAAATTATTCTTGTTTAAAATGAACCAAAAAAAAAAAAAAAAGGGATAGGTCTCAAATAGGAATTTGAGGCTGAGTACCTGTATTGCCATTGCAGTTATCCCTATTTCTTATTACGTCATATAAAAAAGAATGAAATTAATTTATCTGAAAAAGGCAGTAAGAGTGCATGCTAGCAGGGGAAACAAATAACTGCTGTTCTGAACTTATTTTCCAGGGAAAGGAGTATGCACACGTGGTGAGCTCTGATAATGTAGCTGCTGCTGTTGATCCAAGTACCCTCTTCAGTTTTTTTATTTCTCTTTTAAAGTCTTGCTTTTAGCTCTTTTTCTTTCTGATAGTTTTGATTATTTAGTTTCCCTAAGTCTTATTTTAGTTCTTTAGCTGTATGCCTTTTTATCATTGCTTTTTCTATACATAAGAATCATTCTTCTTACATTTGTGCTTCTTGAGTGTTGATTCAGGAATCTTGATTCATTTGAGCCAAAACAATATTGAATACTGTATGGAGGTACTCATACAATGAATTGCATTAGCACTGCCTCTTTGGCTCAAAATCTGTGTTTAACTGCTTTGTCTCAAAATCTGTTTTTAATTCTTAATGATTTTCAGGTGACGCCAACCACCTCTTCTCTTTCAAAAAGTACTATGGTCAATCAGCAGCAAGCAAAGTTTGAGGTGTAACCTTGACTTCCACTTATTTTACAATGCCTCATTCTTCATTTAGATGCTTTTGAGTTGTGGTATGTGGGGATAATTAATAATAAGAATTTTGATGAATGAAGATGCTGAAAGATTCTACACATATTCTTCTTCTTTGTTTCCATAAAAATATGAAGGATTGAATTTTAGTGACTGGTCTTTATTTTGGCGCAAACGCTATGATATTTTGAAGGTTTGAATGATCAGTGCTTCATGTCTCTCAGAAAAGCTGTATGAAATATAAATTGTGCTAACTGTTCAGGGAATAAATTGGTATGAAAGCAGTAAATACTAGACACATCTAAATCATGTTTTTCTTGAATACATGTCCTGCTTAGCTTGAGCATGAAGTTCTAGATGTCTGTGTCTGCAATTGTCAAATGTCCTCTCTGATTCTAATTCCTATTGACCAATAAGATGCTTTGTTAACTTAAGCAAAGCACATGAATGCCAGCAGTTTTGACTCTAAGAGCTTTCTACCTCATATAATTCTAGAGGATGCATTTATAATTTACCATTGTTGAAGATCAGAATTTGGTTGGCCCTAAATTGGTACATGTGTTACAGAAGCTTATAACATATAATAAGTATTCATTGAGTGATCGGACTGTTTGATGGTGTTGAGGTCCTGCTAAGTCAATTGGCAGTGCCTTGTATGTTTGGTGGTAGCTAACAATTGTTATACAATGTGTGCTATGCAGCTTGCAGAAATAACACAAAAACCTCCAAAATATGTGAGTTCTGATTTTCCTTTTTCCTTTCTGCCTTTGTTTTCGAGACTTGTATTTGGTAGAAGGGTGGATCCCTTTATTTTCTTTACTTCTTTTTATGTTAAAATCACATTAGGATGCCCAGAAGTTTGTAAGATAATTATGATTAGCTTTGTTTCATGGAGCAATGCGAGATTCATTTATTGAACTGATTCTTTACTTTCCTTCCATTTCATGATCATTCATGAAGTCGACGGAGAAGTTCAAATTTATCGACACAAGAAGTTTGTGAGTAACCTATGTACTCCTGTAACTCCCCCTGATAAAACTAGCAACCATGCTTTACCTGTAATTTCTGTTTTTGTACAGGTGGGTTAATTTAAAAGCAATCAGGAAGCTTGTAGATACTGATGCCCTGAAGATAGATAACCCTTCTCTTTCAAAGGTGTACCATTGCTTTATTTCACTCACTGAGGGCTTATGCTTATTGAACAAAAACGAGGAATAATTGAAATGACTGTTACTTTCAGGAAGTGGAAGGTGATCAAATTGGTTTGGAAGAAACAGTGGCTAGTTCGACAATACAGGTATCATATTTCTTTTTCGTGTTTTGGGGACAATTCATCTTGTTAACTTCATGTGCTCTATAACTAACAATTGCTGATGGCTTATGAGATTTTTTTTATTGAGCCAGTTATTTGATAAAGTCATTGGCATTAATGTCCCTCAATCTCGGTTTGTTGAACTAAATGCAACATCAGACTTGCTTCTCCTTCAGGTTTTGGACATGACCATGTTGGCTGTATTATCATTTTTCTACCAAAAGAAAATACTAACCACTCTTAATTTGAGACTTATAATTATTATTATTTCTGCAGTCAGATCTGTACTCCACCACTGAAGGCGTTTTAATTCGAAACTCAGCTCGAGATAACCCTGCAAATCCATGTATTGAGTTGGGATCTGAATTTGAAAAGGTGACGATAATTGTTACTAGGTTATTACTTTATTTGTATGTTACTGGGGCTTAATATCCTTTTGTTCTCATCTCAGGTTAGCGATTTCCGAAGTCGTTTCAAATCCATTCCTAGCATAGTTGGATTGGATAGCTTGAAGGTAGCTGGTGATGTGTGGTTTGGAGCTGGTGTGATTCTTAAGGTATTTTCAACTTCCAATCCTTCTATATTATTTATTTAATCTGTAGTTATGTCTTGCTGCCTCATTTTCTAAAATTTTTAAGCTGCATGTGTGAGTAGGGTGGATTTTTATTTTATTTTTATAGGTGGTCATAAAACTCTCAATTCACATGCACTGATTCTTTCTAAAGTGCGTGTGTAGAGCTGACATGTATTTGGATATGATTTTTTTTTTAATTAATTAGTATGAATTTTATTTATGCATATATATCAAATGCAGAGTATTGTCATATGTATTTACAAATGTTGTATATGAATATTTACAAGAATTATTTTAAGTGGTAATGCATATCAAAGTTGCAAACCTTTCTAATTATCTTCCATTTGTTTTTTATGATGGTTGATCTTTTGGCTTAAATTTTATGTTGGTTTTATTATTGTAGGGGAGAGTAAGTATTGTTGCAAAACCAGGGGTGAAACTGGAAATTCCTGATGGTGTAGTACTTGAGAACAAGGTAAAAGATTTAAACTCCTGATTCCTAAATCAACTTTTTTTTAACGGGGAAGTAAAACAGAGTGCGAACTGTGAAGAAGGCATTGGTAACTGTAGAGGGGTTGGTGGTTGGCCCATCTTCTTGTTCTTCTTCTCTAACCCTTTTTTTTTTTTTTTGGTTGTTCAGGATATCAATGACCCTTCAGACATTTGAGATGGATTCTATCTACTTATTTCTTATTGTTTGACAAGAGGGCCAAAATTATGTAATAGGTTAATTCTTGTTTTCTTTGTTTGGTAGAAGAGAAGAAAGGTCACTGCTGTAATAATAGGTGCTTTTTGTTTCTGATTTTTGTATTTTTAACATATAAGAGAGATACAACGACAGTGTACTAGAAGAACAGCAAAATAATTGGGAGCATTCTCCATTTATGCCCAGTGCACTGGCGTTTCGCAATTAATAAAATGTTGTTTGCAACCTCACTTCTGAATTTTTTAATTTTTTTAGTAAATTAAAGTCAGAGCGGGCAAGGCTTCTTTCTCCTTTTGTTAAATTTCCATTTCCAATTTGTCTTCTGTTTTAGGATTAGAAATACATTTGTTCAAAATGAAAATCAAGGATTCTAGTTTCTCGTCGAAGCAGTTTAGTTTCTTGAAAACAGCCATTTCTCAGGATCAAATGGTTCTCACTTAAAAGAATAATCGAAATGATGTTCTAAAATCCGATTTCTAATCGTTTTTTCGAAGCCTTCAAAGAATTAAAGAAGGAAATCTATTAATGGGTCTTAAAAATCAACCTTTAATCGTTGGTTGGCATTAATTAATGCGCATACGGATCCCTCCACTGCATTCGACTAATTCCAATGCTTCAGAGCATTTCCTTTCCTTTTTCTGCTTTGGTCTCTTCCTTCTCTCACACTAGTGACCAGTCTATCCACTTGCTTTCATCTGTTACTAACTGTCACCAAAATTATCTGGGAATAATTCCATTGGAAACAGCACTTGGTGCATGTGGCTTATAAGGTAAATCATGTCGAATTAAGGTTATAATATCGGTGAAAAGCGTTGTTGATTATATCCTCACATTTTTTAGGGTTTGATATCATATGATGTTGCTATCTTTTCTGTTTTTGTGTGTATCCGTGCAGTCAGATATATATGAACAATCTGCTGATGGCATATTAGTCAGGAATCCAGTTAGAGCTAACCCTGAAAATCTAACTATTGGTATTGGACCTGAATTTGAGAAGGTGAAGCATGAACTTATATTGTTGCTCGACTGCTGTTTTTGATCTATTGCCACTGGTTTTTAGAGATTGTATGTGTGTGTACGCCTGCGAGCATGTGTTTGCATTTGCTATCTTATTTGAGATGAAATACTCAAAACCTATTTACGATGGATAGAGGATCCATATGAGTTATGTGTTAGCTATTTCTTATTTTTGGCTGACAACAAGTCATAAGTTGTTTGGTTAAAGTTTAAAAAAGATTTTAGTTACCTTAACTAACAATCAGAACATGTAGTGTTGGAGTAGTTTTATAAATAATAGTTTTAATCGTTTATTGTTAATTATTAAAATAATAATCTTGCATTTAGGGGCACCAATTTATGAAATCATTTTATTTGTTTAAGAGCAGTCTGATATTTGAAAAAAAAAAAACAATTTCACGAGGACTTTGCCACCTATGTCTGTATGCTTATGATACATGTGAATTGTATAGCAAAAAATATCAGTAAGCTACAAATACACATGCACGTATGTGGATATGCTTTATATATCTAGATATATCTTATCAAACTGGATCAACCCACTAATCTAGTGGGTGAAGCCATAACCCAGGGCCTTGGTCGGGTAAGGTCTATGAATTAGGTTAAAGGTTCATACTATCTTTTTATTGTTTTATTTATCTTAATTGTATATTTCTATCAATTTTTTTAATAATTATGTCCTATATTCTTAATTTTATCCTTCCAGTCAAATTTTTCGATAAACTGCATTAATTTTCAGTGATAGACTCGGATAATGCTGACATGTGGCATTTTTTTCAAAAATGAAAATTCTGAAAAAAATTAAAAAATCATAAAAAATTTCCAACCTGCCTCTCTTCTTCTCTACCTTTACCTAAAGAAAACTTTTTGCATATAAGTAATAACAGAAGCAAAATTTTATTTATTTATTTCAAATCCAAACCCAAAAGAAAAAATTTATGAAATTTTTTTTCATAACATAAGAATAAAAGGAAAAAATAGATAAAAAAAAGGAAATTTTAGGATTTTTTTTTCAAAATTTGAGAGAAAGCCAAAAAAAAATATTTACACATGAAATTAATTATTTATTTTTATATAGAAAGGTTGAGAAAAAAGGGGGCATTTTAGATTTTTTTATTTTTTCATATTTTTTAGGATTATTAATTTTTTTAGATTTTTTTAAAAAAAATGCAACAGGTCAGCATCTTATGAGTCTGATGGCGAAAGTAACTTAGTTATCAAAAAATTTGATAGGCAAGACAAAATTAAAATGTAAATTAAGAATAAAAAGACACGATTAGTGAAAAAATTAATAAAAAAATATAATTAAAACAAATAAAACTACATGGAGACATCCTGAAACTTTAACAACCTCTTATGAATTTAACTCATTTATGTGGCATGATTAGAGCGGCAGTCCTATGCTCTAGAGCACACAAGATTCCACCTCTCCTTCCCCACACACCAAACAAGGATAAGAAAAGGCCTTTCCTTCCTTTGTTATCCATCGTATTTTCCCTCTAACTTGTTTGCTTAGCTTTAGGTCTTTCTCCATTCTCTTCTTCACTGAATGACCAAGATATATACTTTCAAACAAACACCCACAAGTAATTGAACTACAAAAACACAAGAGAGATGCCACTCTCTGCTATAAATCAATATTGCTACCCCAAACCATTACTTGTCAAAACCAAAACCTCCACACTTACCCCTACTTCCTTAAAATGCAATTTCTTCTCAAAAACCCCACTTTTTCCCCTCACCAAAACAACCCCTTTAACCCTCAACAGGAACAAAAAATTTAGCCATTCCATTGTGGCAATGAGCATGGAAGCTGGGGTTGGTGTTATGGGAACTAAACTTGGAATGATGAGTTACTTTGAGGCTAATGGGAAAGTTGTTCCAGTTACTGTGGTTGGATTTAAAGAAGGAAATATTGTGACCCAAATTAAGACTGATGCTACTGATGGGTATGATGCAGTTCAAGTTGGGTATAGGAGGGTTAGGGATAAAAAGCTCACAAAACCTGAAATGGGTCATTTGGAGAAGGCTGGAGTTATACCCATGAGGCATTTGCAGGAGTTTAGGCTGCAAAGTCTTGATGGGCTTGAGGTTGGGCAGAAGTTGTTGTTTGAGGAGCTTTTTAAGGAGGGTGATCTTGTCGATGTCTCTGGAATAACCATTGGCAAGGGTTTTCAAGGTTTGTTTTCTAGTTCCCCCTTCCTTCCCTTTTGGTTTGGGTTTTGTTTGGTTCTTGTAAATTGACTTTTGTTTGATGCTGAAGTTTTAATGGTTTGTCTGGTGTTTGATCGTATGCTCAGAAGTACTGTCGGGTTATTTAATTAGTTATTAATGTAGTATATGAGTTGTAATTGGATGCTCCTTACTTTTGTTTAGAATACTCGAAGTAATTCTTTTCTAGTTTATTCGGGTGGTTGAATTCAGTTCTGATGCACCTTGAAATGACCGTATCAAGTATTCTTAGGTATGCAAGATAATCATGTTTATTCGCTGAACGCTCTTCAGTGTACCATATGGGAGCGTTTTTAAAAAGCTTCACTTGCTTCTACTCCACTGATTCTACTTTTTCCAGTATTGCTCAAATGTTTCAAGATGAATTTGCTATGTCATTCATTTAATTTGAAGAAACTCATGAGATAAAAGTGTCCCTAGGGAGGCAGATTTGAAGCTTACAAGTCTGTTGGCATAAAAAAATTGACAATAAATTCTTTTGGAATTTGTTGTCCTTCCTTTGTAGTGTTGTAGAGTGATAACTCGTTTGGGGGAGTAGACTCTTCTTCAGCATATATTCTGGATCTTCCAAGGTTTTCTTGGAGTGAGGCCAGCTCCTATTAATCGGGTTTTTGAAAGCCACCCTGCTTGCTAGTGTGGTTTATTATGATATCTACTGACATTAATCCCAGCTATAGTGACTTGCAGTTATTCAAGGCTTAAGTAGTTTTATTTTTAATAAAAACTCTGAATGAAGCATTTCCTCCCCTTGAAAGAAGCACCTGCAAGTATATGACGTGTATATCCATACCTGCTTAGGGAATCACTGCAGGTGCATTGGGCAAGTGTGACAGTAGTCTTTTGTAAATGATAGTGGTAATAGTAAAATGTTGTCATGAACTTGCAATGTTATAACAGGCTTGTGGTCTTTTATGGATGATACGCAATCTGTTAAGCCACTGCTTAAGATGGTGGTGGCTGCTCTTACTTTTTGTGAATTGTCCATAATACTGTAGCGTGTGTGTGTGTGTGTGTTTTTTTTTTTTTTTTTTTGATATCACAAAATACTGTACTTGCTATCTTTTATTGAATCGTATTTGTTTGGTCTACTGGTAATCAATTTAAGTTTTCTTTTTCAGTCGTTCTTTTCATTCATTTGAGTAGTGTGTTTCTGATCTTGTGATAATTTAAAATTTCATTGCAAGCTGATCTCTGTTTCCTTTGTTCTCTTTGTCAATTTCACCCAGGTGGTATTAAGCGGCACCATTTCAAAAGGGGTCTGATGACCCATGGTTCCAAGAGTCATAGAGCTTTGGGATCCATTGGTGCCGGAACAACACCAGGTCGTGTATACAAGGGGAAGAAGATGCCTGGCAGGATGGGTGGGACCAAGACAAAGATCAGAAAGCTCAAGATCGTAAAGATCGATAATGATCTTGGTGTTGTGATGATCAAAGGTGCCCTCCCTGGTAAGCCGGGAAACCTTCTGCGAATGGCACCAGCAAAGATTGTTGGGAAAAACATACCAAAGAATTAGCTCCCCTGTAATTTTTTATTAATGCATAGCCAATGACAGAATGCAACTTTGCTTTGCCTGTTAACATCCTTTTGTGCATTCTTGGGTATTTGTTTTGACTTCTGAATGCTTCAATTCTAAGTATGGGTAAAGTTCACAATTTTGAAACGCCACAAAGAAGGATATTTCCTGAGCATCGATGCAACTTTGTTTGTCTGATTTGGAGATTCTAATCCCTTGTTCCTACTAACATTTGAAGGTAATCCATTTACTTAAGTACAAAGTATTTCAGTCGTGCCATCATACTTTTTATGGATTAATCGCATGAAACGTCACTCTACTCTCTTGATTTTCTCAATATAGTGCATGCATTTTTTTTATTCATAATCTTTCTCTACTTGAGAATTTTTCTTAATGTGATCTTTTCGATTGTTTTTCGATCAAAACTAAAAACTGGCATAAAAACATTTCAGCCACACTTCAGATTAATCTGCCACATGGCAAACATGAAAAAAGAAGAAGGGAAAATTACAAAACTATCCTCAACAATCTCTTGAATTTTCCAATCTTTCTCTTTAAATTTTTCAATCTTTCCAATCTTTTCTTCTTCAACAAATCAGGAAACTAAGGCATCAATACTTAATAATCCCGAACAAGGGGATGTACTGCATTGGGACTCTAGACCACTCTCCAATTTAACAAACGAAAAAAATGTTGACTGCTGGGGTTTTTGGGAAGTGGAAAAACGGCTGTTGTGAGATTCTCTTGCTCATTTCCCTTTGCTTTCTGGGTAGCCAAACAGACCATAATGCTTTGAGGATGCGCTTCACTCGTTTTTCTTCAATTAATTACCGGTGTTCTTGATTATTTTTAATGCTTTGGTTTGGTTTCTTGGAAGGATAGCAATTCAGCTGCCTCTTTTATTTTCTTTAACCGTTAGCAATATTTTTCGGAAACGTGCACACATTGAATTAAATGCAGCCTTGATTGGCTTTCGTTAAATCTCATTTTACGGGCATTTTCATATTGATGCTGCCATTTTTTATTGCCTTTTTTCTTTCGATTGTTGCAACTTCTTTGAGACTTGAGTATTGTTTATCTGGCATTCGTATCTCCAAAATTATGGCTCCATTTGGTTCCAGTCAATAAACAAGAAACCGAGTCTCTGGAGTTTCTTTGCAATTATGTGTTAATCGTTTTATGGATATCATCAGTTTGGAGTGGATGAATATTGAGTTGACATCAAAGAAATCACTGAGCAAACATGGAAAGTATTTTTGAGTTTCATGGTTATCCCATTCGAGCCCTGACCGAATCAATCTCCTTCAGGAGATTTATGCCAGAATTTTGGATTGGTAAAAGTGGTCAACCTTTAGTCACAATCGCTACTTAGAAATAGAGAATAGAATGCCTTCCCTTGTATCGGGAAAAAATAATAATTGATAATTGAAAGATGTGGCCTTTCACGTATTTGAAACAAACGTATACAAACTCATATTTTGGTGATTAATTTTCAAATAAACAATAATAATAATAACCTTTATCTGTTTGCAAGCCAATATAATAAAACTATTTTCATTGCGATTCGATTGATTTTTGTAATGGTACAGAGCTTTTTTAGGCTAATCGATCAGGTTCGGAATGAGGTCAAAGAAGTTTAAATGTAAAAAGAAAATGTCTTTCACCAAGATGAATTATAAAGAAAAAAAAACCATTTCCAATAGTCTCCAAAAATATTAAAAAATAAATAAAAGTTAGAAATATAAAAAAAAGTAGGTTTTTTCCCCCACAAATACAGCATTTTTAGATCAATTTGCATGCTAATCAAGACTAAATCTCTCTTTAGACAATTTTAAAAACACATCATCTCCATGGACATGATACATTCAAAAAAATTTATTCCGAGCAATTTTAAAAACACATAATCTTTATTGACATGATATATTAAAAAATTTAATAAATTATTTCCAACGTTGCTCTTAAGTTTTGAATTTAGAAGGGAAAAAAAAACAATAAAGAAAGGAATCAAGTTTTTTTAACAATCCAAACAACCCCTTGCATCATAAAACAGTAGTTTAAGATCGAAGGAAAAACCCCAAAATGGCATCTCTGCGAAAAGAGAGTTGGTCAAATTCTACATGCGTCTGCAGAATTTGGTCGATTCAAACCTATGCTATAAAATTGAATTGAGCACAAAGACATCTGACGATGATGGGCCTGGTCCTGGGCCTAGTTTAAGTTTGAAATCCAATAATATGGACCAGGTCAAAAAATGAACCTTCCATTGGGCTCTTTACATTTTTAAACCAAAGCCACCGCTCGGCTCCATCTCATAGAAGACAGACTCTCTCATTCACACGCAACAGCAAAAAAGTGTAGCAAAGCAAGCCCTCGCGCCGCCATACATATATAATTACTCACTGATTTTCGAATTCAAATTCTGAAATTGTAATGCACTGAAGTAGAAGACGAGGAAGAGGAAGAATGGGAATACCAGCATTCTATAGATGGTTGGCGGAGAAGTATCCGCTAATCATTGCCGACGTCAAGGAAGAAACGCCGCTTGTAGTCAACGGCGTTTTGGTCCCAATCGATACTTCCCATCCTAATCCTAACGGTATCGAGTTCGACAATCTCTATCTTGACATGAATGGAATCATTCACCCTTGTTTTCATCCCGAAGGACTGGTATTTTTCTCTTTTAAATTAATTAGATACTCTTTCATTTATTTATTTATTTTTAATTGTAATTTTCTTTTTTGTAACTAACGACAGCCAGCTCCGACTACATACGAGGAGGTTTTCGCTGCAGTTTTCAAATACATTGATAGGATCTTTTCCATTGTTAGGCCTCGAAAACTCCTCTTCATGGCTATTGGTAATTCATTCAATTCGAAATACAGACAGATTGTTGTTGTTGTTACTGTGATAATCTTCATAAATTTATTTATTTTAATAATGTCGATTAATTAAAATGCAGATGGTGTTGCTCCACGAGCTAAGATGAATCAGCAGCGGTCTAGGCGTTTTAGGGCTGCTAAAGATGCTGCTGATGAAGTGAGAGTCTTTATAACTTAGGTGCACATCATTTTTAATGTAATTAGTTTTTTTTGGGGAGAAAAATGAAAAATGAGGTTTTGTTTGCTCTCAGGCCTTGTCTATAGAGAGAGATGGTGGGATTGTCTCCGAATCACAAGAAGGGAAAACAGCTTTTTCAGAGCAGAAGAAGAATCTTGACTCGAATGTAATCACACCTGGAACTGAGTTTATGGATTTGTTGTCGTCAGCTCTTCGTTATTACATTCGCTTGAGGATGAATGAGGATTTGGGGTGGCGGGGAATAAAGGTAAAATGAAAATTTTGGAGCATGGGTCCCCTCCCTATCGCCCTTTCTCTCACTTACCTTACATGTGAGTTGTGTGATTCTTGTTAGGTCATTCTTTCTGATGCCAATGTGGCTGGTGAAGGAGAGCACAAGATAATGTCATACATCCGCTTGCAAAGGAATCTACCAGGTTTTGATCCAAATACACGGCATTGCTTGTATGGATTGGTAAATTCCTTTGTTTGTCTATTTGTAAAATGAATCTCACTTCATTTCTGGCTAGCCCTATAATGCCTTCTTATCATGTGTTATTTTAGGATGCGGATTTGATTATGCTTGCATTGGCTTCCCATGAAATTCATTTCTCGATTCTAAGAGAGGTTTTAAACCGAACTTCTTGATTCAATATATTTTCTGTGTTCTCACAATGATATGGAAGAGGATATACTGGCTGTACCTTACCTCTTTGTTTGTCGGACAGAATACTGGAAATTCAAGCATAGGCGGTAAAGCCTCAGAAAAAAAACATAGACCGATGAAGCGCCAGAAATTAAATGAGAATTCAGAGCAAGTGGGAAAGTTTGCTGAGAACATAGAAGACTATATCTCACGGCTGAATTTTCTGGTCATTATTTCTCTCCTGTTGTTTGACATTCATCATGCCTAATTTATTGATTATAGCCCTTAGCTTTGTTCTTGCCTCATGATTCAGAAATAACGAACCTCAAAAAATGAGGTTATGTTTTTCATTTATTTTCTTTCCCTAGTGAATGATCTAAAATTATGGAAAGGAAACACACCAATGAGATTCTATATATATATATATATATATATATATATATTTTGTGTGTGTGTGTGTGTGTGTGTGGTTTGGGGGGGGGGGGGGGGAGGTATATGAAAGAGCACAATAAAATAGAGAGGTGGCGCGGTTGGCCACATATAGTCTATGCAGGTTAGATAAAAAAAACTAGTGGTTTTAGAGCATCAAATCATTAACTGGATGTCATGAAACAGTAATTATGCAAGTACCTAACATAGGTAAATTAGAGCACGAGATAGGTTATCTAGGACAACAACTATTGATTTGAAACATAATGTTTATTGGAAATCTAATTTGAGCTAACTTTTTTCTTTCAGTTTTGCTTGATACGAATGGTGCATTGTGATATGGCTGTAATCAGTATTCTAATTGTTATTTCTATTGGAGTTTCTGATGAAATTTCTTAACTTTGTTATGTTACAGTTTCTCAACATTTGGATCTTGAGGGAGTATTTAGCATATGACATGAGAATATTGGACACAACCTTGAAAGTAGACCTGGAGCGTGTGATTGATGATTTTGTCTTTATGTGTTTGTTCGTTGGCAATGATTTTCTGCCCCATATACCATCACTGGAAATATCTGAGGTTGGAGAATTTAAGAACCCTTTTATTTTTTAGAAAACAAGATATTTGCTTTGGAGTTGTTACCATATTGGAACATTTGTTCATGAATCTATCTCTGTCTCACTGATGCATAAGTAGTGCATTCCACCTTTGTGATTGCTGTATAGATGCCAAAATGACAAACGATGTTATTGCTACTGAATCTATCTTTATCAATGCTGACCAAAAAAGAAAACGAAATCAGGATTTATATTCTTATGTGGTTTTGTAGACAAGGGTATTTCTGTAATTTCCATATTTGCTGGAAATTATCTTAGAGGCTCTCATTTTATGTTTTCGTGTGTTATCAGTCTCTAATATTTGTTTTTGATGATTATTATTTATTTATAATTAATTGAGTTTAATATAGGAATTTATCGTTTCTTATTTGAGAGTCCAAGCCCTTGTTGGATTATGAATCCAACTAAGTAAAGCTTTAGGCAAATGTTGAGTCTATAAAATAATTAGGCTTCTAATGCTTTATTTTGATTGCAATGTTATCGAAGAATTTCTAGCAATTGTGTTTTGTGATTGTGTGATACAATCTCTCCTAAGTGTGACAGCCAAGAACCCTAGGTTTGAAGCTTGAGTTTTTCTGCTTCTACTTGTCTGTTGCAGAGCAAATCCTATAAGATTTAATTGTTTCTAAAGGCTAGGACTTGAATTTATTTAGGGTTTTGCTTATGGTATTTAAGGGCTGCTACTGCTCCAATAAATTATGATTTGATTTTTTGAGACTTTATACAAAAGTCTTATTTTCTTTTCTGGTCTTACAGTCCAGATAACCAGCCTTTGGCTTTCAATATCTTTTGCATTTTTCTCCTATGTTAGTGCAACTCAAAATCTTCTTTACATCCTTCTACAATTCCAGCAATCAATTGTTCTTATTCTAACCATCAAACAACCTCCAATGAATTCCTAAACATCCACACATTTATATGTCAATCCTACAACTAGTAGGCACTAGAATATCAATTCAATCTCTAAAATCCCAATTCATGTAACTGTTCACAGCGTCTTAGAACAGCCCTAAGCTATCCTTAGACACTTAAGATTAGATTCATTCCTGTTAGATGCTTCTCTTTCAAAGATTGCAAAGTTAGGTAGTGGTAATGGCATCAATCAATGACACTAGGGAATTATTTGTTTGACATGTTACCATCTTGGAGAGCTAACGCATTCATTTTTATGGAGCTTTTAATCTATATAATATCATTGAATGGGACTTGTGAACTCAATCCTTGTTTGATTCAGTCAATGGATAGAGACTAGGTGCTGGAAGATAGTATGACAAAGTGTTGAAATGATTTTAGTGAGGATTAAGCTTGTAGTATCTTTGGGAGCTAGAATTGCTGTAGGTTTAATATATGGGTGAAATTAAAGGGAAAAGGAGAAGGTACCTACTAGCCTCCCACTGGCACGGATAAGGAATAACTCTTAAGAAAGCCTAGCATTTACCATGCAATTAAAGCAAATGACTACAACACCATTCATAAAATTTGCTTCTGGAATTTAGAGACTCGAAGGCTACTTATAGACTTGAAAATAGTTTTATGCTTACAAGACTTGGTTTCCCATTAGGAAAGCATAATTATTCACATATTCATAAATCTAATATGGAAATAATACCATCCTAAATATTTTTGTTACAGAATCATTGACTTTACTAACAATATGTAGCCTGAATCAACATTGTAAGTAGCTTAATAGAACTATCTTGACTCTTTCATCAAACAGAAGCCTGAAGTTCATGAATTTGCCACTTATGTTCTGGCCATCATAAGTTAATGCCAATCATTAAATTTCTTTTCTCATGCTGTGTATTCTATAGTTGTATTTTTTATGTGCTTGATTCATTGGTTAACTAATGTTTACCATATTTTGATAGGGGGCTATCGATTTGCTCATGACAGTTTACAAAAAGGAATTTGCTCGGATGGGTGGTTACCTAACAAATTCTTTTGAGGTGAATAACTAGACACTTCTGTGTTTTTCAATTTGTGGTAACATGTTGAGTGGTTTGTTGTTTATTTTATGTTTGAATCTAAGCTACTACAAAGACCAGTTAAATTCATTTTTTTATGGGATATTAATTTCCAGCTTGTGGCATTGCAAATTAAAAATTATCAATTCAATTAAAATAATTAATAATTATTGTCACCAATTTCAATTGTCATGTGCCACAAAACATCACTTTCACTTACACTCATGTGTAGCATCAATCTTTGGTTGTCAATTTGATATTATGAGATAGATTTTGCTTTACATGATTACATTTAAATAAAAAAAGAGAGAATTTATTATTAAAGTTGGTAAATTTAATGAACTAATGGATGTAGCCCATACAGCAGATGCAGTTAAAGGGGCTATTAAATGTTATAGAAAATTTCTAGGATCAAATTGAAATTTGTCTCTAAAAGCTCAATTATGGAGAAACCTAAAGTTGAAGGACTGACTAACCAAATCTAAATTGAGGAACTGAAATATACTTCTTCTGGCACACCTTAAATATAACTCTCCTTGACATGTCAAGTGGCAGTCATCCAGCTCCATTCATTCTGCGGACCAAATTATAACTATACCAAAGAACAGTGACTATGGTGTATGATGTAGGAAGGGAAGACAAAAGATAGCTAAACATAGCTAACACAGCCAAAGGCTGGTTTTCAGGGCTTAACAGCTACAAAAAGAGAACAAACTCTTATAAAATGATCAAAATATCGAAGATATTGCTTATTGCAGCAGTAGCAGCACTTAAATGCTAGTTCAAACTCTAGGTCCTTGTAGGAAAAAGATTAACTCTAGGTCCTTGTAGGAAAATGATTCATAGTCCACAAGTAAAAGCTACTTAGTCTATAAAGGAAATACTTTAAAAAGTCACATGAGGCCCTAGATGAATTAAGTAACCCTAATATCATATATATTCTAAAGAAAGCTCCTGCATGGAGAGAGAAGAGGCAACATAAACCTCCAGTCCAAGTTTAATATTACTTTTATAGATCATATTTGTTGATACAGATGCTTAGTCTTTCTATTATGTTTCATGTTAATCCCAACTTGAGATATTGAGCACATACATGTATGTTCTTTTTCTTAATCAAAATAAATATGAATGAAACTGTTCTGAAGGCACTCTGTTATTTAGTGTCTATCCCTGCAATTGCTTCAGAAATGTCAACTGCCATTCAACTAATAGATATAGTTTGTTTATTAATTGTTCTATATTGTTGAAGATCTAATCGGAAAATTGTGGCCTCCAAATTCGCTTGACATATTTGTTTCTTTGTTCTCTTATTTAATTGGTAGATAAACTTGACTCGTGTGGAGCACTTTGTACAAGCTGTAGGTTATTATGAAGGCACAATCTTTAGAAGACGTAACAAGGTATCATTTAATGACTTGTTTCTTTTTCTTTCTTTCTTGCTTTCTTTTTTATTTATTTATTTATTTTGGCATACTTTTTCCTAAGTTTCTGTGATTTGGTTTCTATCCTCCTTTCCGTATATTTTTCTGCTCATTGGTGACCATTTTTCGCCAATCAATACATCTTCCCCTATGCAAAATAGAAGGATGAGTTCAAACTACAGGATTGTACTTCTAATTCATGCGTGGAAAAATTCAAGGGATTGGGAGGGCTACCCTTTCCAGTTCTTGAGTTTCTTTTTATGTCTCAATATCCGCATTTTGCTTCCTGCATGTAGTTGTCTATCATTCACTAATGTGCTAGTAAATTATTGATTTGTTCATAATAATGTTCTTGCATTCAAATCACAACAAAAGCCCATAGAGTGATACAAATCACAAATATTTTTGAATATCTTTCATATAATTATTAGGCTTATATCTAATATAGTTATGTGTCTAATATGTATTAGACATGCCATAAAAAATTGGCCTAGCTTTCTACACATTGTTAATGTGGGGGGATATGCCATAAACACATAAGAATGTGTTTAGGCTATGTGAGGGTGCACTTGGGTATACATATCGGAGTCCATTTACATTTTTACAATGAAAAACTTTTTATAATGACATATATGCAATAATAGGAATTTTTGGGTTAAAATTTTAGAACCTGAATTTTTAGTGCAAATATTCCCTTTGTTGATTGATTTTTGTGGATGACTATTTTATTGGTACTGTTGACATATGTGTCCTGTACATTTTAAATGACCAGTTAGTGGAGGATTTACATCGAATTCTAGGATTGAATTTAAGTACTCAAGATTTTTGTCACTTTTTAAGGATTTTATGTTGTTTTAGATAAGTAGTCAAAGTTGCTTTTATTGGGAATTTAGTTCGATTTCGTTTTTGCAGGTTTTTCTAATTTTTATTTTCCATTTCATATTGGGTTTTAGTTGCTACTTATTATTTGCTTTGGAGCCTTCTTATAGTACTCTAGTTAGAAATTCAATTTGAGCTATGACCATTTGATATATCAAATAAATTAAATTTACTGATTAATTCTTCCTTGGTTCTTTGTGTTTTTTACTGTATCACTAGGTTTTGGGTCAATTAGCCACTAAAACTTATTTGATTGTTGTTTAGAGGACAACAGCATTGGCATTTTTGGTAATCATAGTACCTAGCAACTTGACGTTTTAGTTTGACTTCAAAACCTACTTGTATTTTGCATGATACAATTGCCAATTGATTTAACCAACCATTGATTTCTAGCATAAACCGAATTTTTCTACTACCAAACACACACATATTTATTTGTTATTTAAAGTTAACCAAAGTATATCCTTATTTTACAAACCATAAGTACTAACCCTAGTGCACATACTAAAGTCCAAAAACATGATAAAAAGGAAAAGTTATAGCCCTCAAACTTACATCTTTATTTAAGTACACACGACGGCAAGTCGGTTCTCGCTCGGCAACGACCATCACTTCGAAGCATACCATCATTTATTATCTTTCTTTCCTTCAATAAAAAGAATTTGATGTTCAGAATGTACTCTTATAATGTAATGGATCTGTTCATATCATTTTTATTGCATTATTGATTTGCCTATTGCAGTTATGTATGCATTATTTTTTATCATTGTGCTGCTTTCTATTGTCTAGAGTACATTTTCCTACTTCTTAACAATGTTCCTTTCTGGTATTTGGCCCTAGGGCTTTAGGAACTGCATATTGCAGAATCAATATCCCTATCATGTTGATATCCTGGATTAATAAATTCTATTGTGTCTGTATTCTACTTGATCTGTGTTTAGCCCAATGGCTAGGATCTTGAGATAGTCTAAGCAGCATCCATTGTTCTCAGATGCAAAAAGAAAGAGAGATACGTTTCCAACAGATATCAAAACGGCAGCAAGTTTTTCATTCAGCAAAATCTTTGTCTGATGATGGTGTGTCTGAAGGTTGCAAATCTTCTGTTAAGCTGAAGAGGGCTCCTCTCAGTCAAAATCAACAAAATGTGAGTACCCTGTTTACATCATTACAACATTGATGCATTTTCATTTCATGTCTCATGGGATATTTTTTTTTCTTTACAAGTAACTGAAAGTTTAATGTATTTTTTCTTATCATCATTGCAGCCCCAAAGCACAGAAGCTAAGGGATCAAACCACTGCTCCTCCAATGGAACAAGTGCTGTAGTTGACAAGGTTTGTTAAGTTTGTATATCTTGCCTTTACCTATGCAAGGTAACAAGTTTCCTGAGTTTTCTGATTTATTTGTGGCTTTTACAGATTAAATTGGGAGATGAGGGTTGGAAGGAAAGATTCTATGCAGAGAAGTTTGAGGCAAAGAGTGAAGATGAACGTGATACAATACGGAGACATGCGGTACATAATATGATGTTACTGTTTTCTTTTCTAGGATCTGTATGTGCACTTCTTCATTTGTATAAATTTGTCCCTAATGTGACTGTGACCTTTGAAAGAAGCAATCTTTTGGGTTCGACAAGATGGCACTAACCTAGAACTATGAACCCCAAAAACATTTGGTCACCAATTTGAAGCCTTAGACAGATTTTGGAAACCAAAGACACCCAATGCCGGAGTTTTGGAGAAACAACTACGGACCTTTTCCAAACCATGGTTTTGGAAAGCTATGCAAACAATACTCTATATAACATAAATGCCTTTAGATTTCATTCTTGTTTTGACTACAAGGAAATGATTCTTTTATTGTTATTGCCAACGTACAGGCTTCTTCTCATTCACTTTCCCTCTCCACTTGTACTTTCTGTTCTTTTCCTGCATAGCTTTTAATTTGTTCGTATTAGGTTGGTTTGTAACTTCACTGTGTTGAAATTTCTGCAGGTTTCTAAATATGTAGAAGGGATTTGTTGGGTCATGCATTACTACTATGAAGGAGTTTGCTCTTGGCAATGGTATGTGGTGCATTCTCTTATGCTATCATAAATTTAAGCTATAACTACCCTGTATTTTTTTATTGGCTTATTGTCTTCAAACAGTTCAAATGTTGAAAACTGGATTATTGAGGCAAGGGGCCCTAGCTTAGGGTTGATGTTTTACTTGCCAAGTCAATCAGCAAAGAACTATGACATCATGTAGTTGTACCTTCCTTTTTTTCTGGAGCTACAAAAAACAAGAAATAGCCTAATCCCTGTAATGTCTAAGTAAGCACATTAGAAATAAGGACAGAGAGACAGCAGTCTGAGGTAGTGTCAGTTATATGGATTCGTATCCATCTAAACATTTTTGAATCCCCAGTTAAATGGGAATTCATCTACCTTCAGAAGATATCACAACCACTTAACTGATTTTTTTTTAAAAAAACGATAACAGTTAAAACTTTGGGGTCGATATGAGTTGAGAAAATCTTGCTGGTGACAAGTGTTGTGCTTTTTTCATGTAAATTGATCCTTAAAAGAAAAATTCACAAAATGCTTAGGGTTCTTTAATTTGGATCCTCATCTAGGTATTGGTGGAGTGGATTGCACCAAGCATGACACTAATTGGTGCTAACGTATGTGTTCCTTGCCTCCATAACTACCACGAATCTTTTGGGCTCAAGTAGCTTGGCTCTGGATAGTTGCATGACATGAATGTTTTAGCTTTGAGCAATACTTAAATGCACTGCTCATGGTATCTCTTTGTCTTGATTTCTCATAATACAGCACTGTATTCCTTTTCCAAGAACAGTGAAAGTTGTTTTTGATCAACTTATTATTATTATTATTTTTTTAGGTTCTACCCTTATCATTATGCACCATTTGCCTCGGATTTCTATGGCTGTGGTCAGTTAGAAATTCAATTCACTCTTGGGGAACCTTTCAAGCCTTTTGATCAATTAATGGCTGTGTTGCCTGCTGCAAGGTTTTCAATCTTAACCATTTTCATTTCTTATATGTGTTTGGTATACATAATCAGGATCTGAGGCAATTTCTGTGCTCGAAGTGCACATGCGCTTCCCTTGTTTTACAGGAAACTGATGACAGATGCATCATCGCCATTATTGGATTTTTACCCTACTGGTATAACTATTGTTCAAGACTTCCCTTTCTTACATCAACATTATCAGTCAATCACCATGTTATTGCGGGTACCTAATCTTGAAATTTCTTGGCAGATTTTGAGCTTGATATGAATGGAAAACGGTTTTCCTGGCAGGTAATTGTTATTTCTGGATTCTTCTTTGAACTTGGAGTTAACATGGATTTTGTTTTCTGATGATCAAAGTGCATAAGTAGATGCAGAACTTTTTCTTGCTTATATGTAATTGGTTTTCTCATAAAGGATTACAGATTTCAATTAGTTTCTCTTGATGTTATACTTTTTTCTTTAAAATTTCCAGGCTATTTGCAAATTACCATTCATTGAAGAGTCCCGCCTTCTTTCAGAGATCGCAAAAGTGGAGCACATGTTGACAGTAATTCCTTTTTCTATAAATTAGCATTGGTCTTGGGTGCTAGATGTGTGTCTGTGTTTGTTAGTGTCATATTTTTTCTGAATTTTTTAACTGAAGGATATCATTTGATAATTCAATTTTCCATGCTGCTTTAGACGTACCTTTGCTGCCCTGACAGAACCCCATATTGCCTATTTTGCTTTCATAAATAATTAAGAAGTTTCTAGCACCCACTAGAATCAGAAATTTTCTAAATGAGTGGAGCAAGACCAATATATTGAGTATTCAACGTGGCTAGTCCGACTTCGTTCTGAGGTCCTTGCAGCAAAAGAAAAATGACAGTCTGAAGATATGTGTAGTATGTGGTAAAATAACAATATAAAATCTCCACCTTTTGGTTGGAGATGCTCATCCAGTGGCTATTTGATAAATAGGCATGTCAGATTTTTATTTTGTCCTTACTGCAGTCATTCAATCTCCAGCAATTATGTTGCGAATTCATTGTTAGAATTCGTTCTTCTAACACTGCTTTTGTTAGAATTCGTTCTTACTGATGATTTTTATAATCAGGATGAAGAGAGACAGAGAAACCGTTTGGGTTATGATTTCCTGTGCATTCATGTTTCACATCCTTTGGCAGTTAAGATAATTTTTCTTTCTGAGTGCGAAGATCAGTCAACTCTGCCCAAGGCTAATGCCAAGCTGAAAATTGACCCAAAAATCAGGTGTGTTAATGAGGCTGTTGCGGACGACAAAAGACTAAGATTTATTTTTTTTATTTATATTTTAGAATGCCAGGGCATTTTTAGTAATTTTTAGGTTTGCTGGAAAATCTGGCAATTGTCTAAGTCTAAGTTTTATTTTCTATTTAGCATTTTATTAGTCGTAAGAAGTAATTAGCTTTATTAGGTTTTTCTTATTTTACATAGACTTAGTATTTTCATATCTAGGAATCTAAGTCCTCATTTGATTTGGATTACTAGAACTGTATAAATAAGCACATAGCCTTTCAATATTTTGAATGACAGTTTATGAATAAAATTCCAGCAATTTGCTTTTGATTGTGTGACTCAATCTCCTTTAGGTGTGACTCCTATGAACCCTAGGTGTCCTCTAGGTGTGACTCCTAGAAACCCTATTAGTGTGACTAATAGTCTAAACAGCCCTAAACAACTTCCAAAAGTCAGATTCAGAACAGCCCCTAAGCTGTCCTGCATCAGAGGTCTTCCTGAAATTTGCCTGAAAAATTTGAGGCAGCCTTTTTTTTTTTTTTTTTAATATTAGGTCACTGCTATTTTGAAAATAGCATTGTAAAAAATTATCATGATGTTCATGACTATTAAATTTTGTTGTTGCTTTGGGCTTTGTCTTCTCAATTAGTGTTATTTTCATCATCAATTGCTATGTCATTTCCTCCCACAGAAATCCCTATGTGGAAAAGAAAATTTTGGTGAATAATATAAAAATGAACTTAGTAGTACCTTTGAGATTTTCATGAAGTAGAAACAACTGATGGTAAAATACATGTATAGAATTTTGTTCTCTTCTCTATCCTTTTTTGTTTTGTAAATCCATGATAACATAGTTAGGTTGTTTATAGGTGAATTGTTGAAATTTTCTCAAATAGATATGTTGCAGTTTTAAGCAGTAGAATTCCAAGCTTCTATTGCTTTCTTTATACCCAAATTCAATAGAATTTTATTTCTATCCAATGCCGAAATGTATTGATCCTGTCAGTTTGGTACTAATTTTTGTGGTTATATTTTCTGCAGTATGTATTCTTTGTTGTAGTTTGTTTCTTACCAATGGAACACGTAGTTAGTAATATTTTGCTTGTATTGTGAGGTCCTTTAAGAGAAATGAGTATTTACTCTTTCTAAGGCCTTTCGAATTGTTTTGCTTACAACAAAGTATTTTCTCATTAATTATGTAGCGGTGGAATGAATGGATACGTTTACATTTCTGATAAACTGGATTGGCCACTAGAGATTCATTCACCAATTGATGGCATGCCGACCATTGTGAGAAATCAAGTGATGTAAGTTTCTTAACAACATGACATTTGCTTTGCACATAGAACTGTTTGTCATCTCTTGCAAAAGTTATTTCTTTTCTTTATTGCAGATCAGTCTTCTATGAATACCCTCCATTTCATTCCCATATTCCAAGGTTACCAGAAGGAGTGATCTTGCCTAAGAAGGTACATTTTTTCTTTTTGATATTTTCTGGTATGAAAAAGAATGAAGGTGGTACACTCTATGGATGCGTAATTTTTTTTTTTTGGTGGTTCTGTCAGTCTGTGACCAAGTGCAATATTCTGCAAGCAAATCATTTATGGCATGACCCAGCTGTTTCTGGACGTGTATCTTCTAAAAGGTAAACTTTCCTTCTATGCCAGAAATATCAATGCCAACTCTAGTCGCTTGGGTGTTTCATGAAAAGATCGATTTATAATCTTAATTTAGAATTTTGTATCCGGATGAAAGTTTAGAGGCCTCCTAATTGATGCTAACTAGTTTGCTAAATATTGTAAAATTGTTTGTAGGCAAATCCCCAAGTCTATCTCAGGCCCTCAACTGGCAAAATTGGCTCGTCGACTTGTGTCTACGTATAATAATTCCTCAAAGCACCTGGGCATCCACAGATGTGCCAAACCTGGTTTCCCTCGGGATGCAGATAGAATGGGACAAATGAGAACACAAGTGCAGACCAAGAAAAGGAAATGGGGTAAAAGCAATCGAAACCACCTTGATGGTAGATCTAAAGAAAGTCGAGGGGGTAAAAATGATTTTGTCCCTATCATCGATGTCAAGAAATTGGGGAGTTCTATTCTTAGGCAGCGGAGGAAAATCTGTGGTGACAATGGCAGTGCTGGTGTAGAGGAAATTAAAACAGATAAGTCTAAAAAGAGGAAAAGGAGATCTAAGAAAACAAAACATAAGCAAGGTGCTGGTATACCTGATGGTGTTGAGAAGCCAGAAAGCAGCATTAAACAGCAGATAAACAGTGATGATAAACCTGCAGGTGCAGATGGAGAGAATGATAACAAAGAAGCAAAATCAAGGAAAAGACAATCCAGAAAAAGAAAACAAAGAAATAAAAAAGGGAATCAGGATAATGGTGATGATGTCCTAAGCAAAAAAGCTGAGAATTTGGGCAGCTGCAACCACATCAGGGAACTGCCAAGTTGCATTCTTCAGGAGCAGAGCGGAGGGGATGTTCATGCAGGTGGAGTTGGGGCATTGGAATTGAAAACTGAGGTAAAATTCATGAAAAGGAAAAAAAATGAACCTGATGGTATCCGAGTCAACAATGTTGAAAAATTGGAGAGTTGTGCTCTTGTGGAAAAAAGAGGGGTGGATGTTCATGCAGGTAGAAATGGGGCATTGGAATTAAGATCAGAGGTCAAATCCAAGAAAAGGAAACAACGATCTAAGAAAAAGAGAAAGATCGAAGCTGATGGTATACTCATTAACAATGCTGAAAAATCGGAGAGTTGTGCTCTTCCAGGAACCTGCTTATTTTCCACATCTTGAGAGAATAAGCAAGCCAACAACTGTTAAACATACTGTACCCACTATTGAAAACAACAAGTGCAAATGCATACACAAGACTTGGAAAGTCGAGATATTCTTGAATCTTTTTCGATCCTCCATCAATGAATGGTGCTAATGCAGCTGCTCCAGCCATGCGAAATGGCCTTGTAATGTTGTTCCCGGTCCACATCAAGATGACAATCTGAGATCTTGCAAGAAAGCATTCGTTAGCAAAAGATGAAAAAGGATAACTATTTCCCTTCATCTTTGGGTTAAATGAAAATCATTTTAAGCTGTAAGTGGCTTTGACTGTCTTGGTTTCAGTTCACTATCAAGTGCAAGTTGCTCTTTAGGCCAAGGATGGAAGCAAAAGGTGGACTTGAATTCTTGAACCCATCAGAAACTCCTAGGATACCATGCTCATATCATCATCGCTGTCTTTAAGCTAAACATTGAATAAACATGATCTGGTGAACTCCTTATGGAAGATTGTAATAAACTAGCTACAAAAATTATCAACGTGAGGTTAGGGTTCCTCAGAATTTTTTGTTTCTCGTTCCTATTCTTCTCCTCGATCATGAACAAAGAAAATCTAAAAGATGGAAGTTGGGGCTGAAGTACATTACCGGAGGCCATTGAATGACTTCTCAACTAGTGACGATTTTTGTTAATTTCAGAAGAACTGTTTTCACCTGCACGCAATCCAACCAGAAAAAGATGAATGGAGGTGTACATTTGAAATTAATGTTCACTTATGGTTCAATTAGCTTGAAAACACAGCAACTTCAAAATATGTTTGTTACAGGAAAATATTCTTCACTAGAATTTGATCTTTATTTTCATGCGTTTGCGGGCTAACTTATATAAAATCCGGTAAAGGAAAATAATGGTTGTCAACAGAGGAACAAGCTCTCATTTCCGTATTGATTCAAAGCACAGACAATTGCCCCTTATAGAGGGTGATTTTGCTGAGCATTTCCTTTCTTGGTATATAGGGATGAAAAATAAGCACATCTTAAATCTTAATTACAATTACCCCCAAAAGCGCTTGAAGATTGGCTGTAGGATTCTTTACGGTGCTCTTCTCATAGCCAAGGAATGCAAGCGCAAAAAAAGTGGTGTATGTGACACCATCAAACAAGCCATATGCAAGCACAACTGCAAGCCCAAGCTTTAAAACACATTTTTGCAGAATCAGCCTAAGTAAAGTTAGTAAACACAAAATTAAATACAAATAACAATTTTACGCTTTCAATAAACTGGGTTAGAAATTCCAGAGATTTAAAATAAGAAGAAGAATTGCTTAAGGTGGAAAGAAATAGAGTGTTTTTGCCTCACCTTCCATTTACTCCAGAACCTCTTGTTCATTTGCTCACTTTAAGCCAAAAAATAACAAAAAAACATAGCAAGTAAACAAACATATAAAAGTACTAATGGACATGTTTATAAGGAAATGTTATACATCTGAATAATCTGATTGCTGGTTTTCTGACTCAGAAGCTCCAGGATTGAGTGAACAGGAAACAGAAGAAAAGGCCCATTGGAACTTTGAGTTGAAATCTTGTAGCAAGTACTGTATGTTGTTGCGTTTATTTCTGCTACCATAGTAACAACAGGGTGGGGAGGCTTAAGCAATGCTGCGAGTTTTGAACAAAACCTAACAAAACCATGAAAAGGAAAAAGAATGAACCTGATGGTATCCTCATCAACAATGTTTCTCTACAAAGTATTATTGATCAAGTCAAGGATATAGAACAAAACCTAACAAACCCATAAAGATTCAAAGTATTTTAGAGAAACTTCTCAAAAGTTTATTAATCAATAATCAAGTGTGTTTCTCTACAAAGTATATGACCCTATCTATACTAGCTAAATCCGACCACACAAGGAACAATTCTCCTTGTAAAATTCAGCCATACTTGAAATATTTTTTTTATATTGGCAAAGCTCTCATTGCCTCCGATGCTAGATAATTTTGGCTTCCTTGACTTTACATCTAATATGATCACTACATTTATATAAAAATATTAAAAATATTTTTTTATTAGTTTTTTATTTATCTCAATAACACGACATCATAAAATAACAAACAATTAATTTCAATGTTAATTATCATTGATTAATGTAAATAAATTTACAAATCAATTATCAATTTATTTAATTTGTATTAGTAATAAAATTGACACAAATAAGTCAACAATATAAATTACTATTCTTAATCTCGAATATCAATATTTGATGGGTCACCGTAAATTACAAACAATATTACGGATTAATATCTTTGTCACGTAAATTATTATTATTTTAATAATTACTTTATGTTTAATGAAAACATAATCATCCAACACCAATAAAAAACCAAACAATGGCATGTAGTGACATTAACATTATAAAAAGCATAATATTAAATTTTTATGCTCAAATTCTTTTCTCGATTTTAATAATTAAATTCTAGAAAAAAATAAATAGAGATTTATAAATTGTTTGGCCATTTTCTAAATAGCTAAATAGTTTTATCCATTCTGAACTTTGTATAGAGTCTCTAAACTTCAAATTTAATTTTAGAAATTCTTAAATTTAAAAAATTTTGAGATCTTATCCATCGGCTAATTTTTCATAAAAATAACGAAAAAAAAAAAACCCAAAATTGAAAGCCTCTGTATTGAAAAATCTCTCTCCTCCCTCCGTCCTCTTTCTCTCCTTCCTCAGCCCGCCCAAACCTCAATAAAACACCCTGCCAAACATTATGAAAAAAGGCGTTTTTAACAAATGGGGTCAAGTTCATTGAAGAAATTGAGAGATTCCTCCACCGATTTACCCCTTCCAAGAGCACAAAGGAGAAACGACGCAACATTGACAATGAGAGGAAAATCCAACTCTTTCGAGGTTTTATAAAGCTTGGGGAGATTAGCATTTGAATCGGGTTCACGAACAGCGAGCTCGAAAATGGCCTGGAAAGTATAGGAGAGTAAAGATTGAGTGTCTGGTGAAAAAGGGGCGTTATTTTGGAGGTGATTGAGGAATTTGACCACTTAAGAAGGGGAATTGAGTAGCGGGTGATTTGATAGAAAAGGTGAGGAGAAGTAGGAAAAAGGATAGTCGAAGAAAAGGAGTTGACTGAGTTGAGTTGTGTTCCTTTTATTTCGTAGGTTTGTTTTGGAGGAGGAAAGGGAGAGGCCAGAGGGAGAGATTTCTGAATACGAGAGATTTTAATTGTCATTGATTTTTTTTTTTTTTTTTTTTTTATAGAAAATTAACGGATGGATTAAAAATCAAAAAGTTTAAAATTTAAGAATTCTAAAACCAAAAAAATTTAATCTCAAATGAGTTAAAATTGAGCGGTGGTTAACTCAATTTAACTTTTCCAAACTCACGAAGGAATTTGCTTCCACATGTTATCCAGTCGATCTCCATTAGTGGAGATGTACGAAATGTTCCTTTGAAGAATTGTGTTGATGAGATTCACGATGCATCTCTTTGCCAAAAGCGACCCTATTATTGCTGCCCTCATTGACACTTTTGCCTTGCCTACATTACTAGACAGCCCAACTCAAGTCGGTCCCCTGGCATTCATCGACAACTTCATCTTTTCCAGTGCTCGAACTGATTTCCTCAAAGGCCTTGCTAAATGTGTTTCTGGCTTAGCTGCACTTGGCCGCTCAAAGATTTCAATCCCAGTACAGTTTCATGAAGCCTTCTCTTCTTCTCCACATTGTTTTTCTTTGTGCTTGTCAGCAGGGTCGAAATCAAAGCCTGGGGTGGCATTTTTTGGCTCTAAAGGGCCTTATATTTTCTTGCCTGGATCAATTGACCTCTCGAAATCGCTTCTTTATACTCCACTCCTTTTGAATCCAGTTGGAAAAGATTCTGAATTTAGTAAAAGACAGCTTAATATTTCATAGGTTTGACTTCCATAAAACTCAACGGGAAGGTGGTGGCCTTAAATCAAGCTCTTCTAGCCATTGATGGCGAGAATGGTTCTGGGGGGACCAAGATCAGCACTGTTGTGCCATATATAAAGCTAGAGACTTCTATTTACGAGGCTTTTATTGGAGCATTCTTGAAGGAAGCTTCCTCTGCTTTCCATCTTTACTGCTACGACAAAGCATTTTAAACCATTCAGTGCGTGCTACGCTGCAAGTGCTGTAAAGAATACGAAAATAGGACCGTCTGTGCCAACCATTGATCTTGTGCTGGATAGAGAAGATGTGGTTTGGAAGATATTTGGATCAAATTCTATGGTCAGGATCACAAAGAAAGGAGGCGTTGACATGTGGTGGTTGGGTTTTGTGGATGGTGAGGTGAATCAAAGAAGATCAAGTTGGATTGGTGATCCATCTATTGTGATTGGTGGTCATCAGTTTGACTTGCAGTCCATGAAATTGGGTTTTAGCTCCTCAATTTTGTCCAAAGGAACTCGTTGTGCCAGCTTCAAATCTTCAACCAAAAAGGTCTAAATGGACCTGCACTGCATGCACCTGTTTCATAAATGCCTTCTTGAATTTTTCATTTTTCTACTTTTGTAAGCCAAGGGATTGACCCAACTTTCTTAATTTTATGCAACTTGTGATTCATTGATCTTTGACCGGTTGAACACACCAAGTCACTGATCAAAGCACAACGATTTCTTGTTTTTTACTTCTTCTATTTTTCATAAATGCTCCCAGTTTCAATGATTCTGTGGTTCGATTATGCATTGAACAAGTACTTTCCTTTCGTTTAAGTAGATTAGTGGGTTAAATTAATAATAATACATATATATATATATATATATATATATATATATATATATATATATATATATATATATGGCATCACATGCATGCATGGTTTAGAACCGTTAGTTTTAGAAGGAAATCTAATTGCTCATTAAAGAATAAAATCAGGGACTAGATCTGCGTTGACTAAAATTTTAAAATACTTTTAGCCAAATCTTTTCATTGGTTTTTAAATGATCATTTAGTTTAACTTTCACAATATATATGAAGAAATTATTCTATGGACTCGGTCCATATATCACAGATTATTATGGATTAAATCAATAAATTTTTTATATATTATTAAATTTGTACGTACTAGTTATTTTTTCATTACATAATTAGAAATACTTTATTAAATATGAAAAAAAATCAAATTTTAAATTTAATTTACTAAATACATGATTTGGACAAATTTAATTATTTAAAAGAAACGAGCTCAAACATGCACGTGCTTCCAATCTCTATAAATCACTCATTTCACATCACGACTTATAACACACAAAACAAATATTAATGGCAAAGCTCTCAGTCCCTCTTCTTTTCTTCCTCTTATATTTTATCTTTTCTCAGGCAGCAGCTCTACCCCTCCAAACATCAATACAGAAAGACCATTCCACCCGCCAATATATCATCACTGCATACCTACAAACCCCTCTTAAGCTCACCAAATTGCTCTTGGACCTTGGAGCTACATACACCTGGGTGAATTGCGACGATTACATTTCCTCTACTTACAAACATGTCCCTTGTAATAGTTCCATCGCTAATTTACTCGGCGCTTATGCTTGCTTGGACCTTTGCGATAGTCCTCCAAGTCCGAATTGCGGTAACAACTCTTTCCTCCTCCTCCCTGATAACCCTATCAAACCTGTTGACTACAACAAAGTTAATGGCCTAAACACTGCCCTCCTTGACTCTTTCGCCTTGCCCTCCGCTCAAGGTTCTCTAACTTTGATCGATAATTTCATCTTTTCCTGTGCTCGAACCGGTTTTCTCAAAGGCCTAGCTAAAGGTGTTACTGGCTTAGCCGCCTTAGGCCGCTCAAATGTTTCTATCCCAGTACAGATTAATAAACGCTTCTCTTCTTCTCCAAATTGTTTTGCTATTTGCTTGTCAGGATCCAAGTCTCAACCTGGTGTTGCTCTTTTTGGCAGCAAAGGGCCTTATAATTTCTTGCCAGGAATTGACCTCTCAAAATCACTTGTTTACACTCCACTCATTTTGAACCCGCTTGGAAAAGATTCTGATCCAAATAACCTCAGACCCTCACCTGAATATTTCGTAGGGTTGACTTCCATAAAAGTGAACGGAAAGATGGTGGCACTGAACAAATCCCTCTTAGCCATAGATGGTGAGACTGGTTCTGGGGGGACGAAGATCAGCACTGTCGTGCCATACACAAAGTTACAGAGTTCCATTTACAAGGCTTTTACTCTGGCATTCTTGAAGGAAGCAGCTTCCTCTGCTTTCAATCTTACTACAACAAAATCTGTTAAGCCATTCAGTGTCTGCTACTCAGCGAGTGATGTGAAGAATACACAAACTGGACCTAATGTGCCCATAATTGATCTTGTGTTGCATAGACAAGATGTGGTTTGGAAGATTTTTGGATCAAATTCTATGGTAAGGATTACAAAAAAGCGTGTTGATCTTTGGTGCTTGGGTTTTGTCGATGGTGGGGTCGATCCAAAGGTATCAAGTTGGATCGGTGGTCCATCTATTGTCATTGGTGGTCAACAGTTGGAGGATAATATCCTACAATTCGATCTGCAGTCAAAGACATTGGGTTTCAGTTCATCAATTTTGTCCAAAGGGACAAATTGTGCCAACTTCAATTTTTCTACCAAAAAAGTCTAAAAGGATGATGTATATACAAACATCATGTTATCTATATGCATGCTTTCCTTGAATTTTTGTACCTTCTGCAACCTAACGGGCCAAAGAAAGGCCAATCTATGTAATAAAAGTTTGTGATCTCAAATAAATGAATAATAGGATTTTAAAAAAAATGAAAAAAAGGTGTACCTAATCTATTGGTTCGTCACAACTTTAATTAATGCACAACCTGTGATGCATTGGCCATTCACCTCTCTTTCTCATCACCGTAAAATTAGGATGGATCATTGCTAGTTGATTTTAATGCCTCATTGTTAAATTGTTGAAATCTTTTGAAAACTGAAACTTAAAAATTGAATCATGAAGACAAAACTTCGATGCCAATATTACGTAGCTGCTAATTATTTGGAAGCATGACAATTAGACAAATTAATTTACTTCATTTGTTTACATGTAGTGGATGCTACATAATATATATATATTGGAAGATGCTGCCATATTGTATTTTCTTTGCTTGCAAATTCGCTATCAATCTTGTGCATCTGAGCTCGAAGATCATATCTTATCTTTGAAAACCAAAGTTAAATAATAATAATAATAATAATAATAAAAAGGATAATATTTGAAAACGAGAAAGAATGATAGTTTATATCAATATCATAAGCTATTAAAAAGTCATATAAATTATATTTTAAAATTTTCTTATTTAATAAATTAAAATTTTGAATTATATAATTCTTTTATGTGATATCAGAATTTATTAACTAAACGAGTTACGATTTTAAATTTCATTATTTTTTTAATTAATTAATCACATGATTTTTTTTATATTTTTTAACAAGCATAAGAACTCCTCTCCACATGCCAATCCGCTTCTGGTATCCAAGGCCAACTCGATATTTCTAATCTTAGTTAGACTTCCATGATCTCTAGCTAGTTGACTTCTTCTAGGGACGGAACAATCGTTGAGCGGTAGAGGTTATGAATCCTTCACACTTTGAAAATTTTTGCATTTAATCCTTGGGATTTTGAAATATTTTAATTATATTGTTCAATTTCAAGTTTATTTTACGAGAAGTATATGTTTTATACCCGAAAATCACTTACTTTCTTGTTGCTATTCAATCCTAAATTTCTGATTCTGTCCTATTGATTTCATCAATACGCGAAACAAGTACTCTTTTTAAATAAAAATTCAAAGAAAACATTACATGGGTAAATGCAATATTTCTCTTGCTTGGACTCCCATTTTATTTTTATTTTTTCTTCTTGGTGTGGTGAGAAATATAAAGAAAACGAACGTTCACATGATCACCATGAACTCCACCCAATCTCATTAATTTTATGGAAATAATAGATATTTAGGGAAAAGTTTCAAGTCCTTGGTCTGCGTATAGATGAGCATTTTGGTCAAATTATTTTAGGCCAAGTGATCTGCCTTTTTTTTTATTCGTTAAATTTGCAACATTAATTTGCAACGGGTAAGTATCATTTCGGTAGTGTTTGATTATGAAATGGGAGGGAAAAAGTTAATTAGAAGAATGAATTTCAGGAATCCAATTTTGAGAGAACTTTCCCAAATGATCAAATCACTTTCTCTTCTTTGAGGGAGACAGTGGAATCCTTAGCTTAACATGTGCAAACTCTCTTCCCCAAATGTTAGAAGACTAAATTTAATTATATATGACGATTATACAATCATTTTTCACAATATATGTCAAATATATCTTTATATATATATATATATATATATATGCTAGTTCAAAAATAGTCATTCATTTTTTATTTTATTATATAAAAAAAAACTTTTTATTCGTACAATTAGTTAAGTATTAATAAAATTTTATTATATAACCATAGTAAAAGATAAGATAGTAATTTACTTCAAATATTTTTAGAATTCTCAAGGAAACAACAAAATACTAAAAAATGATATTTTCTAAGGATTCCAATATTATCAAGCAAACATAAAACTGAATTCTCGGGAATCATTTTATGAGAATCCCTCACTTTTTTAGGAGAATGACTCCAAAAAGAAAAATAACATTTTACAAACCAAATACCATCTTAGATCCATGCATCTACACACACATATATATATATGTAGTCCAGCTGTTTTCGATTTGAGCATTGATGAGATCCTACAGGAAGCAATATCCAAGCAGGCACTTGCTGTTCTATTTGACCGATCGAGTAGGATATTTAAGCACCACTAATTCCTTCTTACAAGCAAAGTCAATAATACCGATCCATTTATAGAAATCCACGCGTTATCGTATAAGCAAACAAATAAAATCCTCTATACTGTGTGCGTATATATATATATTCTTCATTTTCCAGTGACTTATTGAAGTCCACGCGTTATCCACCCCTACGAAAATCTATTGGCGGATTTGCATTCAATTACTTTTTTAGACAATTTAAATCCAGTTTTAATCTAATAAATTACGGGTCCCACAACCAGAGATCACTATTCACTATTTGGTCCAAATAGAGAAGATCTTCGTAGATCAGAACTCTCATGGTCTTAAGCAAGTGTTAGATAATCCCATCCCCATAAAATAAACGAGCCATTTTCTGTTTCTTGATAAAACTAGCTGCCAAGCAAATGGCAATGGCAATGGCAATGGAAAAGCTAGCTGCATTCCCTCTTCTATTGCTATTCTTTCTGGTTTTTACCCTCTCTCCATGTCTTTCTCAAAGGACAACACTTGTCTATCCTATCAGAAGGATCAACACTTGTCTATCCATGAAAAATTAAAATCTTTTGTATTCAAAAATCTCTCTCTCTCTCTCTCTCACCTTCCTTAACCCGCCCAAACCTCAATAAAACACCCAGCCAAACATTATGAAAATAGGCGTTTTTACCCTCTCTCATCTTCATTGATCTTTGACCAGTTGAACACGCCAAGTCACTGATCAAAGCACAACGATTTCTTGTTTTTACTTTCCGTTTTTAAAATGTTGAGATTTATTAAAGACTTTGTTTTCTTTTCTTTGTTTTTTTTTTTTTTAAGTCAAACTATGAAAGACAAAAACCAATTAAATGATGCCAAAATATATATATATATCACAAGAAAATAGTCAATTAGCGATATTAGCAATTGATCCTCCCTAAGTTGTCGCTAATTAGCGACAAAAATAAATATTTGTCGTTAATTTAAATTTCAGACTTCAAAGTCTCTAAAAATGTTAGAAAAATTGTCGAATTAGCGACAAATTTTATGACCCATGGCTATTTAAAATTCAAATTAACGACGGACAAAGTGTCTATCGCTAATTTGAATTTCAAATTTGACCCTTGGAGAGCTTGTTATTTAGTGACGAAAAACATCCGTCACTAGTTTTCGATGGACGACGACAAAATTACTTTCCATTGCTAAATAATGATAGAAGTCCGTCGCTATTCCATCGTTGAATGTGGCGTTTTTGTTTTTACCGCATTATTTAGCAATGGAATTAAAATCGTCGCTACATTTTTCTTGATATTCCGTCGCTATTTAGTCGCTAAAATTTCCTTTTTCTCTTCCATTGCGAATCCATCCTACGCCGACCATTGCCTCCCTAGACCATCTAACTCGGTGAGGTGCATCTTTATCCCCCCAAACTCGATGTAGTCTCTCCTCTCTCTCTCATAGATCTCTTGGGTAATTGTTTCTCTCTCTAACTCTTTTGTTTTTTTTTTAAATTAAATTAATGTTATAAGTTTTTATGTTAATTTTTTTATTTGTTAGTTTATTAATTATTTATTTAATTTTTTATTTATCAGTTTAATTTTTTAATTATTATTTGGATGTTTTTAATTTTTATTTTTAGGTTAATTTTTAATTATGTTAATTTGTATGTTAATTACTAGTGTAAATTTGTTAATTATTTATTTAATTTTATGAATTATTAGATTAATTTATTAAGTGTTACTTTTTAATTATGTTAATTTTTAGGTTAAATTTTATGTTAATTTTGACCTAACAAATTTTAATTATGTTAATTTTTCGGTTGAATTTTATTTATGTATTTTTTATGTAGTTTAGTTAAGGTTAATTAATTGTTAAGTTATTTGTTATTAATTTTTAGGTTAAAATTTAGTTATTTAATTGTTAATTGTTATTTTAAATTAATTAATTATTTATTTGTGTCAATTATTAGTTGAACTTTGTTAATCGTTTGTTTTAGGTTAATTTTTTATTATATAATTTTTTTGGTAATTTAGTTTAATTTTGTTGATTATTTGTTAAGTTGTTTTTTATTAATTGGTTGGTTAATTTTTTTTTAATTTATTGTTAATTTCTTATGTTGTTTTTTGTTTTAATTAGTTATTAGATTAATATTTTTAATTTGTTTTTTATTATTTTTAAATTTATATAATATTTAACTAGGAGGAGGATAAGGAATTAGACAAGTCTGGATGCGTGATAATACAATTTTTTTCCATACGTACTACTAAATGTTGTTATTGTTAATATTGATTTATATTTAATTTATATGTTATTACTTGTAATTGTTAATTATTACATACAATATTAATAATTTAAAAACAAACAAACAACAAAAAATGTAAAAAATATTTAATTGTTTTTTAAAATAATTAGCGATGGATTGCCGAAAAAATTCCATGCTTATAGCGACAAATACGACGACAATTAGTGATGGAATAGAGACAATTTAGTGATGGCTCTACTTAGCTTCGAGATATTAACAATGGCATGTCGATCGTTAATCAACGACGGTCGTAGCGACAGATTAGAGAAGCTAGACAAGACGGGTCTCGCAACCAAAAGAGTGACAATTATTAAACTATAGTGATGGGCATTCCGTCACGGATATATTGACAAAATGTATTTTTCGATCACTATTTTAAGATATAAGCGTTTTAGTGACGGACGGAATTTTCATCGCTACGTCGTCGTTATGCTAATTCAGCTACGGATTTTAGCTAATTAGTGATGGATTATTGTGCATTTTTTTAGTGATATATACACACACACATATTAGCTGCATTAATATTCAATTGATATCTTTTT